TCTTTCAAAACAGAATTCCATCTGTTAACCTAAATAACAGGTGCAATACCTTTAGTTTTAGAAGTACATTTTGTATGCACATATTGTGCTAGTTACCCATTAGATAACACAAGTGGAGCGAGCGAGTTCATTACTCAAATGCGGCATAATAATTTAAACGCGAAATTATACTAAGTTGGACATATAAATGCATGAAGTTTTGCCATAATTATGTTGTCAAATGCAATAATGTTGGTGTATTCGGTTTGCGTTACCGTTTTCGTCGAATATACTCGTGTTCAATGTCTCTAAGAATTACCATTACCTAAGTATGTGTTTTGTCTTTCAGACTTGGCCGTTTATCCTTGGAACTAATGTCAATTAAGAAATATACATACACTTACTACCGCTGTTTGTCCGGCTACTACACCTGTATCCTATATTAAACTAATACAGCATGTTCACAACTTAAATACTACTGCCTCGTGGGTTCCATTTGATAGTAGCAATCACAAACGAAGTGTTTAAAAGTTGTAGTCAGTGGCTGTAGATAGGCAGAGGTGTACATTGTACAATGTAAAACCTACTTTTCACTATTTATGTTATGAGTCCCATGTAATAGGAGATGAGCCTATTGCCATATACATTTCCAGCCTCCGTGCTACTACTGAGATTTTTTTTAAAACCCAGTAATACTTTTCCCGACCAGGGAACCCGGAGACCTCTTGCCCAGCAGTCGCACTTGCAACCACTCGGCCAACGACACAGTGAATAGTTGTAGATTTACACAGCCTATTGAAACTTTTGTCGATACTTTCAAACATACATAAATGTATGTTCAAAGCAATCCTAACGTTGTAAGTTGATAATTATAAGAATTACGAACAGTCATGGTCCGTCACGGGGGCAACCACATTTAATTGGATCTTAGCTCACGATGTTCGAAACAGACCGAAGAATAAGATCTAAATATAATTTAACGAATTAACTAATTTTTTTAAGGTCAGTCTGGTGTTAGTTTGGTAATACGCAGACGGCCCAGATACTTACATTGTTATACTTATGTAGGTTCAATACAAATACCCAAGTAATGGAAGGTAAGTTAACTTGTTTGCGCTTATTTTATTTAAGGGCAATTTTGTTGTTATGTTGTCAATTTTTCTCTTCAATTTTATAATCCTTTCCAAATCTGATTTTTTTCTCTTATTCTGATAAGGAATAAAGCAATAGTGAAATATTTTATGCCAAACTCAATTGGAAAGTTATTCTCTTTTCAAAATTGTACATTTTGCTTTATGTAATATTTAAAAAAAAAATGTTTTTTTTTCTTTCTTCTTTGGCAACCGAGTTTAATTCGTAGACTCTGGTGTGAAACCAGATTGATTAAAGTGAGACTACGAGTTCAGTATATAAATTCGTACAAAATGAACTGTCTAATTAGATTACCGATCTTTATATAGGTAATTATTTATTATTTCTTCTTTTCTTCTTCTAATCGTTTCAAATGTTTCAACAGTTAATTTTTTCTACAATAATTTTGCACGCTCGCCGCGTCAAACCGACCGAGCGAATTAAGGTCTTAAGACCTAAAAAAAAGGTTAAACGCTGCAAATAAAGTATAATAACTGAAGATAATTCTTTGAATGACTCATCAAATAACTTTTGTTGCTGGTCATATTTTTATACCCGTAATACTAACCTATAACCTCGTTTCATTCAAGATTTCAAGTTCTCATCTTCCATTTTAAATAAGCTACGATCATCATAACTAATTGATAGTTCAACACTAGTATTTTAACTTATAGCAATGTCACGTAAACGCCATGGGGAACAGCATGTGCACCACTATAGCAGAGGATTTTCCCTCAACAATAATATGTCGGCAGTCAAAGGCTTAAGTAAAGTTTTTGGACAAATTAATGATAAATTCCTTTGTTCAGTCTATTTTGTTTTAACCGACTTCTTTTGTTTGTAACTAAACGTTCCCTTACTCAATACTAGACGCCCTGCTCAAAATTGATACTTATTTTTTAAGTGGGGAAAACCCAATACATTGACTTCTACCGCCATTGTTGAAGCGAGAAGACTGTTAGATCCTTATTAACTAAAAACCACTAAGTTCCTATTCCTACTACCGACTGCCTCGTTGGCCAAGTGGTCGCAAGTGCGACTGCCGGGCAAGTGGTCTCGGGTTCGATTCCCGGGTCGGGCAAAGTATTACTGGGTTTTTTTATTCAAAATTCTCTGTAGTAGCACGGGGTCTGGAATTGTGCCCGGTATATGGCATTCGGCTCACCCCTATTACATGGGACTCATAATATAAATAGTGAAAAGTGGGTGTTACATTGTACGGTCGTATAATGTGCACCTCTGCCTACCCCTTCGGGAATAAAAAGGCGTGATGTTATGTTATGTTCCTATTCCTACTTCGAGCCGGAGGCCCGGTAACCCGCTAGGTCGTCCGCACTTGAATATAAGTTATAGTATAGGAAACAAACTAAGATAAATATCAAAATGATGAGGTCAGTGTCTGTCTAAGACATAATACGACACTAGCGCCACACTTTGCCCGCACGGCACACGTTGGCGTTGACTCACCTGCGCCTGCGATTACAGTTCGTTAACATCAAACCATTGTTTCAAATATAATTCGGCTATATCGAATCATGAGAAAATTAAGTTGAATTATTTTTTCTTTAGGTTACTGAGAATATTTTTGGGTTTAAAGTAATTGTATGATTTTTTGCGCTTTTGGATGTTATTGACATCTTTATGGCGGACATGCGGGTAGAAACTGTTTCTTTAACTTTTTGAAGTTTTCCTCAATGTTTTCTAGATCCTCTCATTCATTATATTTATCTATCGTTCTACGCAGTATCAAGAAAGACTATTGTTGTCTATATCTTAAAAGAATTGGCCGTGACAGAACCAATTTTATTGAATAAAACCTATTCTTGATGGTCAAACGCAGGTCATTCGTTACGTTTGTGTATTTACAAACTCTTTACAATAATTCTAATGACTATTTAATTTAGATAGCAAACTGTATCGTCATGGGTTTCTAAATTATCCAGAATAGTAGGACATTCTTTTCTTTGTGAGCTGCAATTTTGCAAGTATCCAACAGCAATTAATGTTTGTGAAGAATTGATTTAAGATAATCCGTAGCTTTAACGGCTCATTGAGGCTCAGAATGGCCTCATTCCGAACTTAACTATCGTTGTGATCGAATCGAAACTTTTTGTTGCAAACATTAATGAAACGAGTATTGAGGGCATGCGATTGAAAAACAAAACCGTATGTTGTTTGTAAATTATAATAAGTTTATGAAGATCGTAGCTACATGTTAATTGAGACAAATATAGTAATTCGTACTGTTTCAGTAGAACAAGTTTAATAAAAAAATGATGACGAACAACTCCAGTGCTAAATGTTCTGCTCAGCAAACATGTTCATAGTTCAACTAACACCAACGTCTTAATCGTTCTCTCGTGACTAAGAAGTCATGATTTCCTTATTTTTATTAAGAATCATAACAGAGATTAGGTTCCGAATTAACTGGCAAATATTTAGATGTGCAACTGAGATATAAAAAGTTTCAAAGTTGAACATTTTCATTGAGCTTACCGGTAACACGGCCAACGGGACTCCGGCGCAACACTTCAAAACTGAACACAGAATCACTGAGCACTAAACAAATACAACGACACTAAACTCACGATACAATAAAAAAAAACATTTATTTATCTAAATGTTATAACAGTTGCTACTTCGTATTATATTCGTTCGTTTCGATAACAGACCTCGTTTCTTTATTAGTTTGTTATTTCTGCGAGTTACCAGCGACTATACGACCGTGCGGAGTCGTACTGAGTCAGTGACACTGCGCAAGTCGCCCCCTCTCTCTCACACCCCGCCTAACTCAGGTGAAAAGAACGAGACAACTAATCATTGGAATGCATCAACATAAAGAAGGTAGTATTGCGTGGGTGTCTCGCCTTCATATCAGGTTTTGTTACGAGTGCGAGAGGGATGGAGATAGTCTTTAGCCTTTCTGAGGTTCACGGTGAGTAAGTGCGGCAACCATGCGTAGAAATTATGTGGAAAAATGAGGCTTTCATTGTTAAGGTGATGTGCTTCATTTGTTATAAAAGGTGGCAAAATAAATCGAATCTACCTTCAATAAAATTTTGATTAGCTACCAAGTCTGCAAGTCCCTTTCGCCTGACCCGGGCGGGAGATGTCATTGGATGATTTTCCCTGTTCAAAATAAAACCGCTGCTTTAAATAAGTAGCTACTTGATTAAAAATTACAAACAAACTTAAACCTATACAAAAAGGAATTCCAGCATTATGTACATATTTCAAATTTCCAACCTCTCACAGGGATTACGGATAAATCCTGTTTATATCAGATACATAAAAACAGGATTATGTACCCAATAAACGCAAGCCCTTTCTGTTTACTTCTTTCAGATTATTTTTAAACAATACTCGTACCTACTTACTTACATATGCATCTGCATATGATTTTTTTTTAAGGGGGGAAAATCATCGAATGACTGCTCCCGCCTGGGTGAGGCGGAAGGGAGTGTCAGACTCTTACTGACTAAAAACCACCCCGTTCCTTCTCCTGCACGTCGAGCCGGAGCCCCGGTTACCCGTTAGATCTGCATATGATAGGCAGTAGGGGTCGTCGAGGACGACGGGTCACTTTGAAGCCTTCGCCTTAACAGACATGCTTCAAAATTGTCAAGCAAAAGTAAACCGTATCGTAATTAGCATAAGATTCAATTTACAACCATTAGAAACTTGTTCTAAAAATCAAGTGCAAACATAGAAGTGAAGTTAGCCACATGTAAGTTTGGCAACGTCGCTAACTGTTAAGTTTAGTTTGAAGTTAACTGCAGTTAGATTAGTTTGCTGCATCTCACCGACGTGGAGGCTGTGTCGCTCTGAGATGCATTTGTTTGTGTTTTTAATCAAAAATTAAAGTATTTTGAGAAAGTTAAAGTTTTAAAATGATCGGAAGTGATTATACTTTGGAGTTGTGCAATGTTTTTCATTCTGGACAGGTTTGTTTTGTTTTTCTATTGTTTTAATGGTTCGGTCGCGAGCGCAACAGTTGTGGACTTACGAATGTTTTTAGCAACATTGATATAGAAGTTACCTTCCAAGTTTAACATATAGTTAGACTTTTTGATATTTTGTTATTAATTAAATGAGACCGTCACTAAAGTACGTGATTATAATTCTATTGATAACTTACAATTTTTAATTTAGTGCAAATTACATAAAACTTATAAATCCTAGCAATTTTAGCAAGTTATGACCGCCAATATACCTCTAACATACCGCTTTAGTCACAGAACATATAAAGGAGGAGTATTATTATTATGGGTCAATGTGAAACGTCTTATATTGATGCGTTGAAGTCTTTTGCACTACGAGATTGTAATGCCTAAAATGTGTCAAGTGCAAATTATGCTTAAAGTGTCCGTATAAACAACGCGGTGTTTATTTATTTCGCTTTCGTGATGGTAGTAAAAATACGTGTTTTTAGATTTATATGTAACTTATATGTAAGGCAAGTTTTTATGGAAGAAAAAGGTGAATTCTATAAGAAGTATATATGTATGTAGTTTCATTTTAATTCCATAATTCAGTGTTTACTCTGCAAATACAATTGTCTCATAGAAAAAACTTTGTTTGTTTATCTTCAAAATTGGTTTTCGTTTGTTTCCGTTCAGGTAGAGCCTGGCAGCTTTTTTCAGCGGTTGACTGGTGGAGTGAAAACCGGGGTCATCCTGAAAGATGTCTCATTCACGACACACAGTGGGGAGGTCACAGCCATACTGGGGTCGAAAGGTAGAATATTAAAAAATGTATTCATTTTTTAACGTAATATAACATCACACCTTTGCCCTCGAAGGGGAAAGCAGAGGTGCACATTAATAACTTAATGTCACTGTAAAATGTAACAACCACTACTCCGAAACGAAATAGAACTAACAAGAAACTGAATAACGAAACCATTTTCTATAATAATAATTTTATTACTGGTCTACCAATGATCCAGTGTTACACTACTGCCGTTGCCACCAGATAAATTAATTTACTGCTTTCGAAAATTCTCAGTATTTAGCATGGAGGCAGCAGTAGCCAAATATTTAATTAAACAAATCCATTAATAGTGAAAAATAGATGTTACAATTAATAATGTGCACCTCCGTATTTCCCTTGTAGAGGTAGAATTAAAATGCGTGATATTCCGTATTCTTGTTAATAAGAGTATTCATTCTCTTAAAAAGTATACTAAAGTGTTAGTCCAATTCCCCCAGGTAGTGGCAAACGAGCCCTGCTGGACGTGATAGCTCGTCGCGTGCCTTCCAAAGGCCACATCCTGCTGGAGGGGGTGCCGCTTGAGGCTGACCACTTCAACAGCACATGTGCGCTGGTGCGCCATAATACACGACTACTACCAGGACTGAGCGTGCAACAGACACTTAGCCTGTCACTTACTAAGGTAAAGTATATGTAGAAAGGTTGTTAATTAAGTCTTTAAGTGCCGATTGGAAACTATAAACTACTAGAAGTCAAACCGGCAAGGCGGTCAAAATTATTAACTTGATGTGCCCGTTGACTATACTCGCGATCAAATAGTTTAAACTGTAATGGTAAAAGTGATTATCAAAAGATTGCATTTAAATTGTGTCTTTGTTCTTATTTCTGTTGTCTGCGTAGGTACTGCTCTTGTGTTGTGATAATAGTTTTGGATAATATACCTCATTGTATACCTATTGTTTCTGTTCTAGGTTTCAGGGTACTTGAAATCATCGAAAGTGAAGCAAGTAATGGCTGATCTAGCATTGTCGAACGTAAGTCATAGATATTCATAGCATCAAATATGTATTATAGGTGCAATTAGTTTTATAACCAAGAAACGAATCCATTTTCTCAGGTTGCTCACAAATGCGTGACGAATCTCACAAAGAGTGAATATAGAAGATTGGTTATTGGAGTACAACTGATCAGAGATCCGAGTAAGTGACACAACCATATTTAAAAACTACAACTAAAAGTTAGATGTGTTTCATCCGCGTCTTTCCAATTACTTTAAAATAAGCACTACTTAATTATTCATCAGATCCGCCTTAACCCCTCGAGCGTCCTTATGAGCACCCGGTGGATCATAAGAAAAAATGCTCCATGCTGCTTTCTCTTTTATAAAATCTATTATTAATGTTTTGTTTTTATTTTGACTGTATTTTTTATTTCTATTGTAATGATCCTTGTTTTCGTGTGCCAATGGCCAAATAAATGCATTTTCTTTCTTTCTTTCTCCAAATGTCACGTGTGCACCCGTTGGATCATAAGGAACGCGGCCGCTCGACGGGTTAATGTCCCTCTGAAAAAAGCTGAGACCGCTTTTCTCTCGTCAAAAAGGAAAAGTTAGCTAACTAGTTAAACATTATCACAAATCTAAGGTAAACCTCTTTTCCAGTAATTTTACTGCTTGACGAACCGACCTGGGACCTGGATCCACTGAACACATACCTGGTGATATCAATACTGTCTAATGCTGCGAAGAAGTACGGTACCGACATTATACTCACGATGGAGAAGCCTAGATCAGGTCAGTAGTATTTACGATCCATACGATACCTACCCACTAGATAAGGGAACTACAAAGCAAATAAAACCATGTAACTAGAGAATTGTATTGAGAACCTGATTGAAAAAGAGTAACCTATGAAGTTTCTTGCTCGTTCTTCTCTTGACTTTGATGGATATAAACTGTACGATCGATGCGCAGAGGCTAAATAGACAGCCAAATTAAAAAAAAATTAAATCGAACCTTCGACAGCTGCAGTCTATTTTTTTTCAATCAGGTACTTACCTAAGTAAATAAGATTTCATGAAATCATGTTCAAGAATTCCGCAAAAATATGTAATACTCACTTTAATGTCAACATTAACCTTCTAAACAGATCGTAATTCTTTCAAGTTGTAAACATAAGTGTAGTTTACATAACTAAATAACATTAGTTTATTATAGTTGTTATTGGTTGTATTGTAGTAAGTTACATTCTTGCCGGTAATAGAATTTACTTACAATCTGCATGCCATACGCAATGGATTAGTGATAACTTCAATATCTTAATTGGGATTTTCTTTAATCAAAAATTAATTATTTCAACTGTTCAATACAATAAAATACTAAAAAATAATCACACTTTCATTAATAAATTTTATGACCAACTTAGTTTTAGTATTTTTCCAGTAAAAATAAGTATGCTGTTTGACGCTAAAAAAACGTGACGTCACAATACACAATCTCATACAAAATTCATAGAAAACTATCGAAAAAGGAAATTAAAATTTTTCCTTTTTCGAAAACGACAATTGAATCGTTGAATTAGCAAGTACCCAATTAAAATTTTCTCACCACGAAATAATGTACCAGATCCTCAGTAACAGCAACTATAAAAATTAGATACAGATTAAAAAAATCCAGTGCTTACGACTTCTAGATCAATGTCCCAATGCTACGTAGTTTTAAAATCATATATTCTACTTCACTACACAGTATAAAACAAAGTCGCTATCCGCCGTCTCTGTCCCTATGTATGCTTAGAACTACGCTACAGATTTTGATGCGGTTTTATTAATAGATAGAGTGGTTTTAAGGAAGGTTTATATGTATAATACATATGTACATATTGAACCCGTGCGAAGCCGGGGCAGGTCGCTAGTACAAAATAAATCGGTTATGTTTAATAGGTACCTATCGCATACATTTCACCCACATAGTTCTCATTATGATGCTAATAACGTGTGTTATTGTCCATGTAGGCACTATCTACTATATCACTGTAGTGTCTCATTCTATTCATGTTATTTAAAACATTTACTATGAGTGTATGCACAGCTGTACATACAATATGTCGAAATATCATTTCACTGCCGTATTTCATAATTATGCCATCGGGTCATTGTACTTTGATACCTTTTGTAGAAACTGAACTTACGTATTGTTAACAGTGGTGTAAATTTAGGTAGCTATACCTATACATGTTGATTTTGCACATTGAAATAATTAGTCAACGGTTGGTGCGGTAGCTGGGCAACTGGCTGCCGCACAACGTGTCGCGGATTCGATTCCCGCACGGAGTAACTCTTTGAGTAATCCACATATTGTTGTTCCGGATCTGGGTGTCATGTGTATGTGAACTTGTATGTTTGTAAACGCACTCACGACACGGGAAAATTCTAGTGTCGTGTGTGCTTTTTTTGTTAAATTAAAAGTTGCCCATGTTCAATTTAAAAAAAAGAAACAAATATTTAATTATTTCTAAACAATAACAAACACATGGTGTTCAGTTCTTCCTCATGAGCTAGGAGTTTACTTACAATCCTTTGAACCAAATTCAATATTGCAGATGTTTTCCCATTTCTGGACCGTGTGGTGTACCTATGTCTCGGAGACGTGGTGTACGCTGGTCCTACGAGAAACCTCCTGGACTACTTCGGAAGCATTGGCTTCCCCTGCCCACAATTGGAGAACCCATTGATGTATTATTGTAAGTATTTTGTGTTTTTTAAGGGGGGGAAAAAATGACTGCTCCCGCCTGGGTGAGGCGGGAGGGAGTGTCAGACTCTTACTGACTAAAAACCACCCCGTTCCTTCTCCTGCACGTCGAGCCGGAGCCCTGGTAACCCGTTAGGTTCTCCGATTGTAAATATTTACTCTGGTTTTTGCGATCTACCTCTACAGTTCGCAGGCGTCTATAAACTGTCATCTCCGAATTTTAAACTGATTTTATAACTTTTTCTTTCAAACAGTATGCCTATCAACGGTGGACCGAAGATCACGCGAAAGGTTTATAGAATCCAACCACCAGATAGCAGCACTGGTGGAGAAGTTCAAGCTGGAAGGCCAGGGTATAATGCAGGGCAATCTGCACGAGAACAACCGCATTGTAAATCCTAACAAGATACAGATGAATTATGGAAAGCCGGGAGGATTACAAGTTATCTGGATGCTGTATTTGTAAGTAAACATGAGTACCTAAAAGTAAGACGGCGGTATACAAGGTGGAACTTAAAGGGGAAGTAATCTTAATAATTAAGATAGAAAAATTTACTCAAATAAGACTTTCCTTTATTTTTGAAAAGAAACAAAACTGCAATCAGAGGTTTTCAAAAATTAGCTTGCCTCACACGGTTATCGCACCAACTAAAATCTGTCAAAGTTGGCACCCTATAGGTACTTTTATTGCATCGATTGTTGTTTCCGAAAAGAAAGGAATGTTTTCTTTGAGTACTATTTTCTATCTTAACAATCTTAATATTGACAGTACTTCCTCTTCAGGTGTCATTACAAAATTCCACCCTGTATATAGAAAAAAAGTGTGGGAGAGCCATGCTTCGGCACGAATGGGCCGGCTCGACCGGAGTGATACCACGGCCTCACAGAAAACCGACGTGAAGCAACGCTTGCGTTGTGTTTCGTCGTGTGAGTGAGGTTACCGGAGGCCCAATTACCCTCCCCTTCCCCAATATCCTTAATTCCAAAATCCCCAACGATCCTCAAACTCCTAATCCCCAAAAGGCCGATAACGCACTTGTAACGCCTCTGGTGTTCCAGGTGTCGATGGGCGACGCCGATTGCTTACCATCAGGTTCCAAATTTTCACCCTATGCCTTCATCCGTTTTGACGTGATTAAGTAACAAACATACACACAACAAACATACAAACTTTCCCATTATAATATTAGTAAGATGTAAAATGTGGGTTCCTAAAGTTTCTGTTTATTTGCAGGAGGCTACTAGTGTCCATATTCAACCTGAAGAAGAATGGAATGAAGCAAATGTTCATGAGACTCTTCAGTCTGCCGCTATACTTCTTTATATTGTGGATATTCTACAATGAAGCTAAGGTGAGACCATTCATCGTGATTCCCAGATAACGAAACTTCGATTTTAAAAAGCTACGATTTGTTGCTTCCCAACACTATTAATGTGTAACTAGGGCAACGGTTTAAAATTAAGACCATCAGTGTATCCATTGCCTAATCCTCTATGCGTATGGGAAGACATATGTACTACGTACCTTATATCTATAAAAGACCTTATCTAATTCCAGGATTATCAAAGAGCTTTCATCACGAAGAGCGGTCTGATCTTCAACGCCATGGTGGGGACCTACTTCATCAGTATTATGAACACGATTTGTTTATGTAAGTTTTATACAGTTGACTATTTATATGTTGGCTTTATTGGCTTATGTTGTATCCTAACTCGTTATTCCTATTATCTGCCTACAGATAGTCCGTACCGCACCCGTTACTACCAGGAGTCGCAAGAGGGTCTGTATAGCGGTGCTAGCTTACTCCTGTCGTGGAACCTTGTCTCACTGCCGTTCTCATTCCTCAGCACTCTTGCCTCAGCTGCTGTTATATACCCGTAAGTACCTATGTTTGTAGTAAAATGTACAAAAATATGTTGTGTATGACACCAGGTCAGGTGGTGGGTACGCTTTCCGCTTTCCTTCGTATTGTGAGAGCCGACTAATGTCCAAATACTCAATCACCACTCAATCTATAGTCGCGCTTATGTATAATTGTTTGTTTTGTCAATACAAATTCTTTGTAAAATGACAGAGATGCATAGTCAGTCATGGTTAGTCCTCCAGTGATGCTATTTTCTCGTTCTAAAGTGTAGATTCCTATGGAGAAGTACGAGCAAGAAACTCCATAAGTTGCTCTTTTTCAATCAGGTTCACAATACAATTCTTGGTTACATTATTTCGTTTATAGACGTATATTTCAGTAGGTACAACTTGAAATTTAAGCGTTTTAGTATTCGGACTTCTAGTAATCTCAAATCTGAAGCCCTTACGGCAAATCTGAAGCCGTAAGGGCTTCAGATTTGAGAGACCGGCTAGTACCTAATTTTCTGAAACCTACATCTAAACTCTTTGAACTGCGATCTTCAACCCACCTATCTGCATGATGCGGAACTTCTAGTAAACCCTCTAATATAGAGGAAGCTCTTAGTGACCTTAGTCCAGGAGACTGTTGGAGCCACGGAAGGCCTAACGGGTTGCCGGGGCTCCGGCTCGAAGAGCAGGAGTAGGAACGGAGTGGTTTTTAGTCAGTAAGAGTCTGACACTCCCTCCCGCCAACCCAAGGCGGGAAAAGTCATTGGATGATTTCCCCCCCTTAAAAAAAGTCCAGGAGACTGTCAGTGTCACGGGCTGTTGATGACTGATGTACGTCCTTATCTGGTTCTCACTGAATCAGTCTGGTTTCTCTTTTCCGTGGACGTCTTTTGATTGATAATGACCTCTATCTTTCCATCTCCAGGATCCTATCAGACATATCAGAGAACATGGACTTCTTGTACTTCGCGCTGGCGCTGTGGTCGTGCTACGTGTACGCTGAGCAGCAAGCTATAGCCGTGATGATGTTCGTGAAGAACGGCCTCGTGGCCGGCATCGTCAACATATACATCACTTGTGTTTATATCATGCTGGCTAGTGGAGTTCTGAGGTAAGATGTTAAAATAACTATTTATGTTTATTTTCACCAGTTCTTTCTTGTTGGTCGAGTAGCACAGAAGTGCTCCAAGTCTGACGAAATCGCTTTTTTGATTCTCATGAGTTGGTACATTCGCTAGATGTGGACACATCAGTAGGCCTCTGCTTCACTTCTCGGTTCGGAAAATAGCTATCGGAAATTTTGCAAAATGCACCACAACTAGAATTACGACTGGTAAATTGCCATCTGTAGGTATCTGTAGTATATAGTATGATAACTACATAAGACCTAATACTAACACGCCTATTGTTGTTTTTCGTCATTTTTTTGTTATTATGCTCAACAAGGGGCCTATTGGTAGTTTCTTAGGTTTAAAATAAATTGTTTCAACTTTTCAATGCAATAAATAATTAAAAAATAATCATAGGTACTCTCCAATACAAAATTCATAGAAGAGTATCGTTTTTGACATTTCACCACCTGTTTGACTATTGTGTTGTGTATCTAAAAAATCCTTCGTTTACAGATCATACAAAGGCTTCGAAGAATGGCTCTACTACTTGACCTACATCACTCACACGCGATACGCGTCAATCTTCATGCATCGCAACGTGTTCAAGCAGCCCACTTTCAATATACTCCCGTACAATGACCAGGAAAACTGCACATCAACTATATCTAGTCTTTTACAAACTTCATCAAGTTCTAATACAAATTCCAATGCGAACTGTCGATATGCTAGTGGGAAAGCTTTTCTAACTGAACGATTTACGTCCAAGAACTTCAATGGAGATTTTTATACTGCTGGTGATTTCAATTCTGAATTCAATTTAGGTGTGTCATTTGCTTTCTCCCTTGGCATAATGGTGTTCAACAAGTTTTTGTATCTAATGCCTTTGCCAAGTTATATCACTGATAAGTTTAGAGAATAAGTTTAAAATGTTGTTGGAGTTTATATTGAATCTGCTGTCCGTCCGATTTTTTATTATAAATGTGTATTTTTATGTGTTAATTATAGTATTGTAATAAATAATGATTACTTCCCTATATTTGAAAATTTGATTTTATTGACGCTACAGTTAAATATTCAAATGTAACCGAATATAAAGCTTGAAACAAAATGAAGTATTTTAATAATGAAGATTAACAGCTATAAAAGTCATATTCAATATCACTGCACGGTTGGTGCGGTGGCTGGGCTTACCGGCTGCCGCGCAACGTTTCGCGGGTTCAATTGTCGCACGGAACAACTACTTGTGTGATCCACAAATTGTTGTTCCGGGGGTGTCATGTGTAAGTGAACTTGTATGTTTGTAATCGCACCCACGACCAAAGATAAGTCTAGGGGAACCCTCGACACAGGAGAAATTCCTAGTAAGGGGTTTTTAAAAAATATATATGTGCCCAATATACACATTTGTCTACCCTTGCCTTTCGAAAGATCTATTTATTTATAACAAAAGTGTGTAATGAAAGGTATGTCATAATAAAAACCTTATTAATTCTTCATAAGATACATTTATTAACTTCCACTTACATATCACGCACTACTTACAAAAAAACCACATACAAATTATGGTTGAATGTTACTAGCCAATACTACTAAGATCATTGGTAAAAAAACATTTAAATAATATATTTTGCATATGTTTTTTACAGACTCAATTGTATGAAAAAAAGGATTTCTAATACATAACTACTACTCGATACATAGAATATAAAAAATGTTATACATTTAGTCATCAAAAGTATCTAAACATATATTCCAGGTATTAAAAAGTTAAATGTTTACACTATGCTTTGTGTAATGTATAAACAGCTCCCTATATGATGGGTGTATTCCATAAACTGGTACCATTATACACACAGTTTATTATGTGTAAAAATGTAGTTCTCACACAGCACTTTTAAGTGTAAACATTTTTTTAATGTTATTTTATTATTAAAATCCATCTAGATTTTCAATTACATTGTTCTAAGTACCTGACTCCATTCTTATGGTATAAGAGGTCAACTTATGGTGGACGTTCGATACCACAATACTTTAAAAAATCATTCAGGAAGACATCAACTCACTCAACCAGGGTAACTTGAAACTACTGTCAATCCAATGGTTTATATGTATAGTAGTTGCAAAATTGTGTACTTTTTCTATGACAGTCTTTCAGTTTTTGGATACTAATACATACCTATTACATTGAGGGTTAGTGTTCTTTCCGCTTAGTAGGTGGCGCTAGCTGCCTTTGATCCTGTTTGTGTGATCATTGCAGCAGTGAAAAGTTTATTCAATGTCTTGATTGTAGTAGTCTTTTGGTTAATAGACCGTCGGCCACACTAACGCCCCCAGTGGCAAACTCAAGCGCCATAGCCCCTAATAATGATATTATTAATTAGAGTTAAATTTTTCCATTAATCGTTTGAAACTTGATAATGTTATCCTTAGGTACGGTCTATTGATTCATGAGATGGTAAAATCGTCAATAACTTTTAATTCTTTGTATGGGTACAGCACTGCTGAATCTGTGGTCTGTTCACTCTCACTCTCAGCTTGTAAACATGCTGATCCGTCTTCTGTAAATAAAGGTAATATGAAGTTAATTATATTAAATACAATTTTTATTTGTAAAAAAATATTATTGCATTCGCTGACTTAATATAAATATGAGTAATTGTTTAAACCATATAAAACTCACCTCCATATACTATTATTGGTTTGTTTAACTTCGTCACTGTGACCTGCAAGATAAAATAACAATTCTTATAGAAATATGCAAAAGTATGCCTAAGAGTGCTACTTTTTACGGACTCCAAAAAAAGGAGGATGAATGTGATATGTTCAGCTGATTGTTTTTTTTTTGTTTGTTTGTTATCTCTTTTTATCTCAATAACTCAGCATAAAAAAGTTAATTAAGAAAAAACTTACAGGAGACAGCACAATCTCTCGATACTTCTTGAGATATAACTTCAGTGGCTCCACATAGTTATCAAAGCCCAGTGCATTCATTGCGAACAGGACATCTTCTCCATTAATCGTCTTCCTCTTCTCAACTTGACAACGATCACTAGCTTCACTTGTAACGAATGATATGAACTCCGATATGCATTCCTGGACACACTCCCTTGCATCTTTGGCAATCTGATAAGTAAATAAATAAATGTTTATAAATTGTAAAACATGATTAGTATTTCATTGATCTTCAAATTAGAAAGGTTCATATTTTTAGAGGTATCTAACTAACTCCATCAGGCTTGTGATTAGAATATTACATTTAGCTAAGTAATTACATAAACTCTTGGCTTGGCTTTTCTCAGTATTCACCATTAACTCGTCGAGTACCGGTTTTATAGATACAATTAAAGAACAATGGGTCGCGGTCACCGGTGACCGCTTGGTGTTTGACAGTTTAATAGTTCTCAGCTAACAAATTAGTGAGACATATAACAAAAGAGATAGACGTTTATCAAGATATTTTAAAGTATTGCAGTATTACTCACTTTTCCATTTTCAGGTATAGCTCTCTTCATGATTTTAGCAATGTTTGCAATAGGCAGGAACCTATCTTGTTCCCGCAGCGGAGCGTTTTTACTTCCCGAATCCGAGTTATTCTCCTCATCTGAAATTAAAATATTTACATTTCTAAACAGATTCGTCTCGTGAAAATAACTTATTTAAACCTAAAAACTAAAAAATTAGTTGCAAATTCGTAATAACTAAATGATGTCTTAGTGGACCATACTAGTTAATTTTTAGTAGCATGGGTGCACTACTTTATGATAGGTTCATGTGCTACTACGGATAGATTAGTGTTGGATGAATGCAGAAATGGACATCTAATGCAAAGGTCGAATGACGAAGAATGTTCAAGAAAAATGTGTTAAGAGTATGACGTACATTTCAGACCTTGAATACATACCCAACACATCATCAGAGTTTACGACATATTCGCAACGTATGTTATTCTCTTCGTCGACAAGATATCCATTGTCTAAACGCACTAAATCATTACCGATTTCGTCGTTTTCCATGGTGTACAAGAAGTATTCACCGCAGTAATAAGGTTACTTCTTATAAGACACAGGAACAAGATTATAGCAGAAGTAGATTGCACTATATTTATGTTCTACTACTTGTTTACTACACAAATGCATAAGCTAACTCGTTTCTTAGTAAAAATCACCAATTTTATAATGTTTACAACACCACACAGCACAAGACGAAAACTCAATAAATCATAGACAACTGACAAACAAAATTGACAAACATAGAGCATAGAGTCACTAATTTGACGGAGGAAATCAATCACCAACTATCGACTACATAGTGATGTCCACAACCCGATTAAAACTACTATTTATTTGTTTCATTCAGTATTTGGCTACTTAGGGTGTTATTTTATGAGATTTCAATAAAAAATTATGTTGTATTCAAAATTCAGTTATCGTAGCAAAACTAAAAGAAGTAACATTATATAATTTAAAGTTAACCATAATTGTACCAAAAACCTATTTTTAATCGACTATTCATAAACCTGTTAGTTATATAGTATACCCGCGTACCCTATTGGACAACCCTATAAATTCTCCGTTCCGCGATGTAGGTTGCTGGAAGATAATTTTTCAATAAGCACAATAAATACAGTTCACCTTTACCAAACCTAAGCCGACAATATCTAAAAACAGTGGGTATCGCCACTGTATAACAGGGCACGCCACCACTAAACTTATTAGTGAAATAGGTTATTTCAGTTTAGGCCCAGTGAACAACAAACGCTTATCAAGCAAAAATATCGGTATAATTTGCAAAATAATCAATCAGAATGGGTGTACCTAAGTTCTTCAGGTACACAAGTGAGAGGTACCCTTGCCTCAACGAGCTGGTGAAGCAGTATCAGGTATGGACTTGATCTTAGAATTATTATTCAATACATACCCTTGTATGAGAAAATAATGTTTCATAATAAACTGTAACTATTATAAAATCTTATTGTAATCTTGTTACATGTTATTGTTCTAATTTGAGCTTCTTTCTAACTTATCATGTTTCAATAATAGGAATTTGTATGTGTATTAGTTCATTTGTCTCACATAATTTGTTCTTTAGGTACTTCCATGACTGAAATGTACCTTTGGAATAGCCTATTTGCTTCTCATGCTGTTAATAATGTATTTACAGAATCTTAGTAGAGTTTGTTGTAGTCCACAAGCCTATCATACCATTAAAACAATGTTGCAAATATTTCCAAAATAATTGCACAACTTTTGCCATACAATGATAACATATGTCACACAACATGCTTAATAAACAAACAGTACAAATTAAGCATTCTCGGCCCATTATACTTGCAAAATTTAAATAAAAAAAAATATGCATCTGAAATGTAGGTACTTTTTATACAAAACCTTATTTGCATGTAATGGTGCAAAATTTAATAAATATTGCCTCTAGCTGTATTTCATATCCTGAAACTTATGAAGGACTTAATCCTTCCTTCTTGTAGATATAAATGAGTTAATAAAGTCCATAACACATAGCTAGTTAAATAATAAAGTAGATAAAATATCTACCCTACATTTCTCTTAAGACTTTCACAATAACTTTGACCCTCTTTCTCCTTGTTAACATATTTCCCAATATCTAAAATTTGCATTAGATGTGTAGAAAAACAATATTTATTAAAAAAATCACCAAACTCAAGTATTTGACTAAAATAAATAAACACTATACCATAATTAAAAAAGATACAGGATTACACGAAACTAGAATCTGTTTTAGTTATTTTAATACATTGATATATCATCCCCTAAATTTGTTCATACTAAAGTTGTCTCATAAATATCAGGAATAAGGTCTATAATGGAGTTGGGGGAGAGTGGGCACCGGTGACCACTTGGGAATTGAACAGTTAAAATATGAATTTCATAAAATTCTTAAAACCTCTTTTCTCATTTCAGATACCAGACTTTGACAACATGTATTTAGACATGAATGGAATAATTCACAACTGTTCACACCCTGATGATTCAAACCCACATTTCCGTATAACAGAGAAGAAGATTTTCGAAGACATCTTCCATTACCTTACCATACTGTTTCAAATTATTAAGCCTAAGAAATTATTCTTTATGGCCATTGATGGTGTTGCTCCTCGAGCAAAATGAACCAGCAGAGAGGCAGAAGGTAACTTGACATTTATCATTATTTATATAAAACAGTCACCTTCCATATTAGTTTGTCTGTTTAGATCTGGTTCCTGAGGAAAGTTTACATGTCTCATTTTGACCACACAGATGAAACTACTGGTGGAAAACTAGTTACAAATTTATATTTATTGGCAATACTTTCATAAAGCAATACCAATCATAAAGCTTGCGAACTATACATGATTTTATCTGATGGGTAATCAAGCAACTATTGTCCCATAATTTTATTATGTGTTAAGAATGTTTCGAGGGGTAACGGACTATTTGGTTTAAGCGACATTTTGGTCGATATTGAGTTATATATATATTCGGAATCAGCGAATTTTTCTCCGTCGAATATATATAATAACGCAATATCGCCCAAAATGTCGCTTAAACCAAATAGTCCGTTACCCCTCGGTTTAATGTCTCAGTACCTACTTAATCAAGTAAGCCTTAACTTTACACCACATCAGTCTTTAAAATACTAACTGATTTAATTTATGTGTGTAATAATTATGTAGGTATAAAACTTCTATTTATGATGAACTTCCTAACTGATAAACAATGCCCAGCTGAGCATAGAATAGTAGTAGCTGTTATATTATTGTTTATGAAATAAATAGTCATAATAAATATGGTTATCTTTAGTTCTCTACCTAGAAAATTAATTTTCTTAACACTTTGTGGTTTCATTTTGTTCCTTTCATTGCTATTTAGTATTTTATTAGTAACTAGCTATTGCCCGCGACTTTGTCCACATAGAATATGAATTTTAGGACATACAACTTCTTTTTTGTTTCTATTTTCCAAAATAAAAGTAGTCTGTGTTACTCCTTGTACACCAGCTACCCTCCAGTAAAAGTGTAGTCAAAATCGGTACAGCCATTTTAGAGATGAGACAGTACAAACAGACAGACAAACAAGAATTTTAAATAATGTTAACATGCTATTTTAATAGGTATGTGTCATATGCATATTCATATGCATGTAGTATAAAACAGTTATTTCAATATTACAAACAGACACTCCATATTTATTTATCTGTATAGATAAAACATTACAATATACTATTTTTCAATATTATAGGTTTAGATCAGCAAGAGAAGCAGAGAAGTTAGAAGAAGACGCCAGAAACAAAGGTATTTTGGAACTTTTTTGGTAAAATTAAGTATTTTTTTATATTTATAACTAGCTACTTCCGCGCGGTTTCACACGCTCTATTCAACTCCTATCGAATAGTGCAGAATATTGATTATTAGATGGTATTTTCTTTACAAGTACCTTACAATTTGTATCATAAAAAAATACAGTATTTCAAACTTCAAATGGCTACTATCATTGTATTGTATTATAAAGTCACCATTTCAACGGCTTAATCAATTTGTTTGCTTGCAAAAATGTGCTGTCAGCAATGCAAAACGCGAATATTTAACGTGCAAGCAAGCTAAGCAAATAACATTGTGTGAAAAATACTGTGAAGTTATAAGTAACAATTTTTATTTAACTATCATTGAACGAAACTGCTACTCACGTAAATTATTCGAGATAAGCTCTACTAAGTCACTTTGGGAGTCTTATTCATGAGCACCATTCGCACGACGGTGACGCGACATGACGTGGCTAACTGACTCAAAATTGAATATTTCAAGTACCTAATTTAGTATATCTTTCCTTTCTTTTTTTTTTAAAACGTTGCCCCACACTTACTATTCCTGTGTCGTGGGTGCGTTTACAAACATATAGTTCACATACACATTACACCCAGACCCGGAACAACAATTTTGTGGATCACACAAAGAGTTGCTCCGCGCGGGAATCGAACCCGCGATTGCCCAGCCTGGTGCTGTACCAACCGTGTCGTCATATATCTATATCAGTATATGTTTGTGCAAAGGCGAAACACTGCCATCGGAGAAGCGCTTCGACAGCAACTGCATCACGCCGGGCACCGTGTTCATGGCTCGTCTACACGAACAGCTCAAGTATTTCGTCAAGTCCAAGATTTCCACCGACCCCCTCTGGGCTAAAGTCAAGGTCATACTATCTGGACATGAGGTAAGAGACGAAATTGGCTAACTACATACATATGTACATTTTGAGATACTTTTGTTCTGTATGTATCTTCACAATATTTCTCCTCTTTTCCCCTATTTTATTACGTCATCCTTTTATAAACTTCTTCATTTTTATATCTTTCCTCACAGACATACTGTCATCTTAGCATGTCCTCTACTTCTCATCCAGCTTCATTTAAATTCAGCATTATGATATATGTGACTTTAAACTAAAATGAACTTCAAAATCAAAGTAACAAAGTCGAAAATACAACTCTACAATTTCGTTTCTATGTATGTTAAATACAAACTAGTCTTTGTAATTTAAGAGTTACAATGGAATTTCAAAATTGAAACATAATTCCTTTTAAGTATAATGAAAACTACACTTTACGTGTAAGCATTGAAGGTCGATAATTGAATATTATAAACAGACGCCTGGAGAAGGTGAGCACAAGATAATGGACTACATCAGATGGTCGCGGTCTCAGCCGGACTACGATCCCAACACGAGACACTGTCTGTATGGACTGGACGCTGATCTCATCATGTTGGGCATGTGCACACACGAACCGCATTTTGCACTGCTTAGAGAAGAGGTAACCTTTGCTCAGTCCTGTATAATATCAGAGAATAAATAACTTGTGCTTTGATACTTGAAACTTAGGTACTCACTTATTAAAATCAGTTTAAGTTTATTGAGATGGTAAAGAGAAAAACAAATTGACAAATTCTTATTTTATATTCTTATTTGCGAGCTGTAAAGTGAGATTACCTTGCTTTAATAACTTGTAGGACTGTTAAATAGAATAGACGAAAAGTGCAAGTGGGAGGGGGGTATATCTCTGGCTCTCTGTTTTGTTACAAAAACCAGCATGTTGACAAAACCAATCTGCATATAAGTTCACATTCTGCACCACCCAATGGTCGACTATCAGAGAATGCCTACGGCATTAAGCCCGTCAATTGCACAGTGTATGTGCAATAAAGTTTAAATAAAAAGTAACTTAGATAGAAAAGTAATGAATGGAGTTTCTTGCTCGTTCTTCTCCATTCGATTCGAATCTACATTTTGGAATGAGCACCTAACTTCACTGACGGACTAACTGACAGACTATTATTTATTTTGTATTTGTTGACGTTTCAATAGTACCAAATTATGGTTTATTTACAATAGGGTAGATGACTAATTTTTATTTTAATGTCCGTCTGGTAGATTATTTAAAAACATTAGACACGTATTTTTTATTTACTTACGGAAACGAATAATTTTGAAGATATTTTGATTTGAAATAACGCATGACGTTACTTTTGAGTACCATTTATACTCTAAAATGATGTAGCTACCTACCACTCCCAACAGGTTATCGGGGCTCCGGCTCGATGTGCAGGAGAAGGAACGGGATGGTTTTCTAGTCAGTAATAGTGACACTCCCTCCCGCCTCACCCAGGCGGGAGCAGTCATTCGATTATATTCCCCCTTTAAAAAAAAACTTTAATTAGTTTTTTCTAAGTATTGTTTTCTTAAACAACAAAAAAAAAAGTACGTGTCTAATATTTTTTCATTACCTAACTGACGGACTAATTAGATTTTTAATTTTCATACCCTGTCATTATCCCTATTCTTTAATTAATTATTGTAGTTTCGGCTTACTCACGTAACTGTTTGACAAGGAACTCGACTAGTTACGTGAATCAGGCGAAAACATAATATTTATTTTAGTATGTCTCACGAAAGTTTTAATATAATAAACGTTTAATTATTTCTCAGGTGAAATTCGGTAAAAGTACAAATCGTGCGACGTGCCCCGAAGAGACTAATTTCTACCTCCTACATTTATCGTTGTTAAGAGAATATTTAGAACAAGAGTTTATATCTATTAAGGACAAGCTGCCGTTTCAGTACGACTTGGAGAAAATTGTCGATGACTGGGTGCTAATGGGATTCTTAGTGGGCAATGACTTTATACCCAACTTGCCCAATATGCACATTAGTAACGATGCCTTGCCTGTCCTATATAGTACTTACATGAAAGTGCTGCCTACTTTAGACGGTAAGTAATTTGATTTTGTCTTATATATTGACAGCAAGGTAGATAGGCGACCTGATTGAGGTTGTAGGGAGCTGCCGAATGCAATTCGCTTCCAACCGGCCTATGTATGTAAGTCATTCGGGTTGGTTTATGTTCAGCAGTGGACCTCCTGTGGCTGATGATGATGATGATGTACCTTTATTTGAACAGACCTTTTTTCAAATTGCACATGTACATTATCACATGTGAATTGAGATCGATTTTTGACACTTCTCTCAAAATTTCTGTCAAAAATTTCGATCAATCCATCCATTTTTAATTAAGGTAGGTAGTTAAATTATGGTTGCTAATGTAAAAGGTTTTAGGACTTAGGCAAGAAATTTTTGTTTCAATTGAACAGATAGCACTAGTCTGAACCTTTCTATTATTATCTAGTGTAATCATTGGACGTTCAATATTTGACAGCTACAGTGATTGAACAAACAGACCTCATGCGCTATATATGAGCAAAGTAACGGTAGCCCCCATTCCGAAGTTATGTTAAGTATTTAACTACTTCCTATGTTTTTTTTTGTTTGAAAATAGGCACAAACATTTTAATTTACCTGTGCTTTCTCAAGCCTTTAATTCTCCAGCTCCCCTATATCTTTGATACTTTTTCTATGTATTTATATAACTTGCAGGTTATATAAATGAGTCTGGAGATCTGAACTTGAGGAGGTTTGAAGTGTTCATGCAGGAACTTGCCAAGATCGACATGGAGAAGTTTCAGGACACGTATGCAGACCTTAAGTTTTTTGAAGCCAAGACTGGCAGGAGGCCTAATGCTAATGAGAGGAAAGATGTATGTATTCGTTCTGTCATTATTATTTGCAATCAATTTTCAACCTTAAACTTTCTACGATGTAGTTGAAAATCGGAAAAAGATACTAAAGTTTGTCTACTTTTTACTAACATTTCCTTTATTTCGCAGTACAAGCCAAATAATGACGAGACGTTCAATGTGAACGTTGAGGATATCAAAGCAAACAAACCAGATGACGAGCTTCAAGCATTGATCAATGCGACGGAGGACATGGTAAGCACTAACATGTTTTTATTATAAAAAGGTGACTATAGAACCAAGTGATCAGCGCCGCCCAAGATCAATCGCACCACTAGAGGAAATACAAATGTGTTGCCAGCCTTCTATCTGACAAACATACATTCGCATTTATATTAGTTAGTAAGGATCGCTTTACTTTTTACAGTTTATGGACGATATGGAAATAGAAAATGAAGATGAAGAGTATGAAGAGACTAGTGACGGTAAATGTTTAATTTTTTTAGTAAAATAACTCATATTTAGATTTGCTAGATGCAGGAAGGTTATATGGACCTGTTTTTATTACCTTTTATTTTTGGACACTGATTAAATCGCTCGAATTCAAATTCTATTATCATTCTTCTTGCAGAGGAAGCTAATATGGCAATGGAATTCATACTACACAAAAAGGATTACTATATGAACAAATTAGACTATTCTAAAGTCACAGAGTAAGTTGGTCAATAACCTATTCTTAAATTAAAAAATACAACATAATAATAGCTCAAAAAATACCTTAGACCTAGAATAATTTGAAACCGTTCTAGCCTTTAGTAAAAATAATTCGTTTAAAAATGTTAATGCAGTTATTCCGTCATTAATGATTTAGGACTCCAGCCAGGCTCGAAACTGGACGGGCGTCCCCGTTTATAAGTAGGCTGCTTGAACATTTTCTGATATAGACAATAACAAATATTAGATAGGGTGTCAATGTGTATAATATAATTAAGTGCCCACTACTGAGCAAAAGCCTCTTCTCTCAGGAATGAGCAAGAACTGCAAGAGTACGCTTGCTCCACGCGATTGGACGATCAAGCTTATAATTAAAAGATTAGAATATAGCCAGGATTCCTCACGATGTTTTCTGTGTCTAAATGATCTTAAAAAGTACATAATATATGACTCGGGAAAATGTTAATGTGTATTACAACTAGTTTCTAATTACAGTGAAGTGCTAGCTGACCAAGCAGAAGGCTACGTACGAGCGATTCAATGGAATTTGTTCTACTATTACAAAGGATGTCCGTCTTGGTGTTGGTACTACCCACATCATTACGCACCCTATATATCAGATATTAAAGGATTTGCAGATCTAAAGATTGAATTTGAACTTGGGAACCATTCAAACCTTTTGAGCAGGTATGTTGCAAAAGATATTATAGAATATAATTAGCTTAGTTGTGTGTTTTGATTTTTGCTCTAGCTAGATGGCGCTAGTAAGCGGTGTTAAGTCCCCTTCATTCCAACACTAATAATTTGTAAATGTTAAGTACTTTAAGAATGTGTGAAATATCTTTCTTAAAACACGATAAACGATATAAAATACCTATCATGTTTTTTATTCACTAGGACTTTAATAGGGTATCCTAAAACTTGACCAACTACTGAGACAAGAACAGTAGCATCTACCAGTAGCACCCTAATCTTCCGTGATCCAATCACGATCCGCAAGCAAACAGCCAATCAGGGGCCAGTCAGCCAATAAACAACTCTATGTTCTCTTCAGTCAAGCCAAATTATAATCATTTATTTCAATTAGACCAGAAAGGCACTTTGAACGTCGAACAAAAATTTCAGTGTCAGACTTATAAGGACCTTTCTACAGATGTGATCATATTTTTCCCAGCTCTTAGCAGTATTACCAGCAGCGAGCAAGCAGCTCCTACCAGCTCCGTTCCACGCGCTGATGACGGACGAGGACTCCCCCATAGTCCACTACTACCCCATCAACTTCGAAACCGATCTCAATGGGAAGAGAAACGACTGGGAAGCTGTCGTACTCATACCTTTTATCGATGAGGTAAGCCAAAATAACCTTTATCATACATAAATATAAGGTTTGTTATTAACCGAATACTAATATGAGACACAATAAAAAACACTGTATCTCGCGTTTATCCGCGTTCCATCCGGCATATCATGGGTTAATCAATCTTACTTATTCAATTCATCGGTAAACTAATCGAAAATGGTCTTAAGGTGTAATAATAATAAGGTTTTTATTGAAAATTTAACGTGCTAGCAAAGTAAAAGTTTAAATGTTCTAGGTAAATCTTCTGTCGGCCATGGAGCCCTGTTATCAGAGACTGACTGAAGAAGAGAAAAGTCGGAATGCACATGGACCTATGTTAGTGTATAATTGGACTCAGAAAAACCTAGGTAAGTTCATACGACAAAGGACAATAGTTTTTAATTGACTTAAAAAAAAGGTTTTCAATTCGATCCTGGTCCTGATGCATGTAATACTAGCTTTTACCCGCGGCTTCGCTCGCGTCACAAAAGGATAAAAAGTAGCCTATGTGACATATTAATACACACAGCGCCATCTATACCAATACTTTTGTTTTCCCTCGAGAATATCAATTTTTCCGGGATAAAAAGTAACCTATTATTTAATCCAAACTTCTAACTTTACGTCTGCAAAAATTCAAAGCAATCGGTTTAGTCGTTACGGCGTAAAAGCGGAACAAACAAACAAACTCACTTTCCAATTTATAATATTAGTTAAGATTTTAAAAACTGCCTAGTTTTCATAATTTTAAGTCTATATCAGCATCTGAATAAATGTGCCAAATATTATAAATATTGTTTTACTACGGTTTTCTGTGAGGCCGTATATCAATGTTCATGTCCACCGAGCAATTATTGACTAATTTATTAACTATTTTATAAAAACAGGTGCATTATTAGCGCCTCAACACTTCGATGCGATCGCTGAATGCCACGCTACAGAGACTGAAGTATGGAGACAGGAGTTAGAAGTCCCCGATAGTATGTTGAAGAGAGGAATGCTACCTAATGCTAAGAGGGACATGCTGTTCCCTGGGTTCCCTACTATGAGGCATCTTAAGTATGAGGTAAGTGATTTACAGGGAAAAATTGTTATAACCATCGTTGGAAATGTTAAAAAGATTTGTTTCTTTAATTGTAACAAAAAATTATTACCGTTATAATGAAATATACAACATTAAATTAAACTTATGAGTTAACTCGGTTAGTTTGATGCGTGACGTTGCCTACCGCGCATACAGCTTATAGTTATGAGCCCCTGTTTAACTTGAAACCAATCGAGCTTACTCGAACAGTATAATTTCATTGATTTTTATTAATTTCTTAATTAATTCACAAATATAATTCATATGCCGGAATACTGAAACGTTACTCAATTTTAAGTCGTGCTCAAATATCGTGCCATCTCTGTCATTTTACAAAGAATTTGTAGAGATAGAACTATACTTAAGCACGACTTAAAATTGAGTAGCGTTTCAGTATTCCGACAATAGTTCTGATTTCTCACTTTCGCTTCTGTTCTATTTTACAGACAAGTATCAAAAAAGGTAAAGTAAAAGTATTTGATCAGCCGTCTCGCAATGAGAACATGATAGTAGAGATAATAAGAGAATCGGAGACCGAAGACCCAATCACTGAAGTAGCTAAAAAAATGCTAGGAAAGGTCATATGGGCCGGCTGGCCACATCTCACTAGGGCTAAGTAAGTATGAACCATTTAAATGTATTTTGTGATTTTAGAAAGTTTAGTTTTGTGTGATTGTGTTTATTGATCATACAGGATTTTTCATATATCATGCAGATCTTAGAACATTATGTGTACTTTCAAAATGGTTCTTATTGATATTATTACAATCCTTTATTGACACGCATATGCGAGCGCAATAAGTTCAAAAGTAAATAAATAAATAGCACCGAAGTTTGCGCATCAATGTGCAATAAAATTAGTGGCGTGTGCAATTTTTTGTAAATAAAGTCAAGAAGAAAATTTTTGAATTTCCCATTTGATATCCTCCTATCGTGATAAAAGAAAAGTTCAAGAAAAGAGTAGATTTGGACTCTATGACCAAGCAACAAAGTTGAAAATTGATTAAAACACGATAACGTCTGTATAATGGCCTGCACGTCAACCTACTTCAATTTGTCAATTTCTTTTTTCATTGGATTATCGACTTAATGTCAAAGTAATAAAGTTAAAAATCTTAAATCAATACAATATCTTTGTACAGAGTAATATCGGTATCGAACGATAAGTTGAGACTCCACCACATAGACCAGCAGAACAACAACCCGGACGGCTCGCCCAACTACTCCACGGAGACCAACAGTGGGAACCTACATAAACAGTGGATCAGTGAACGATCCACTATTATTGAACAGTAAGTTCACTTGCAATCTCTTACGGCTGACATTATTTGTATGGAGTTTTGTCAAAAAAAAATCTTAATCCACAGATTTTCGACTGAGATAGGTTATTGAAATCAACATTTAATAAAATAAAATAAGTACTTTTTGTTTGCGTAGTATTTCAATTAAATATAAATGTTTTTCGACGTAAATTTATTACAGTATATATCTATAAGTCTATCTAATACCTTTAAACGAGCAATTCTTGTATATTTTTATTAACTGTCTCGGCTTCAACGATTTTGTTGAAATTTTGTATTTGGGTGTTTCGGGCGCGATAAATCGATCGGCGATGTAGCTAAGATTCATTGTCAGAAAATGTCATTTAAAAAAAATACTAAGCAGAGCTCAGTCATCTAGCTACTAATAATTTATGTTTGTTACGCGACATTCACACCCGAATACTAAAAAGCTACTCAAGTTTTAAGTTGTACTTAAATATCGTGCCATCTTTGTCATTCAAATTGGGTGGTATTTGAACATCAGAATAATAAGATGTATAAAAACCCCCTTTTAAAATATGTACATTTTCTTTCAGCAATATGAATCGACTCGGCATTGAATTGGGCGAAGTGACAACGATCATTCATGCGGTCAATTTGAAAGGTGAGTTTTACATAATATACATAACCACAATATTTAGAATTTTAGTTCATACACATTTGGCTATGTCTTGTACCAGTACTTACATACAATTTTTTACTATAAGTTTAGGTCCAATCTCCTCCCCCCTCAATCCTAACTTAAACTTCCTTGTCTTGTCAAACATCTGTGTGTGTATACCGCCAATGGGGGCTATTGTATTCTCATTTTCACAACACTAACTTATTATCTCATTTAATGATAATCCCATAATTATATTAGTTTAACTTTTACAAAAAACCGGATTAATAGAAATATGTTTTAAATGAACGACGTTTCCAGGTTTCAAATACATGATCCAAGACAACGTGAAGATGGTAGAAGAACCGGAGTGGTGCACCATCCCTTGCGGGTACGCGTTGCAGGCTGTAGTGACGGACGTCACCGCGCATATATTGCAGGAGGGGGGACGCTTCAGTACGCTACAGGAGGCGTATCCTAACGGGGACTCCGTCTTCTTACTCACGCAAGGACAACATTATGGAGCTCATGCTACTGTGAGTATTATTGTGTTAACAAAGTAAATTATCAGTTTGAAGGATTTAAAGTTACTTTTTTTACTAAGTTGCGCAAAATGTGTGTTCTTCTTGCAAGTGTATTTGATATTAATTGGAATAGTCAAACTTTCCTAGTTGTCCTTTGATTTTGCTTATTAGACATTAAAAACTGAAGTTGCACGTAGATACGTAAACGTTTGCGTCAAATGCGCAAACTATTGAACTCATTGCGCTTGCACATATGTGACACAAATTACTTTTATTTCCTTGATCTTTTCAATACAATATTTACTTGCACAAAATGCGCTTGCATTATAATGTATCAGCACACAGTGTACATGGAATTTCCAAAATATTCGGTGATAATTATCAACAAATTAAATACATAATAATAGATAATTATTAAATAACCGTGATCAGCATTTCTGAACATTGTAAACTTATTAATTAATTCAATTCAGTAGCAATAAAACTATCTAGGAGATTGGTGGTCTACTCATTTAACATAAACAACATTCAACATTTCAACATAAACTAAGAAACAACACTATAAGGACTTACTACCTACCCCTAAAACACTTTTAACTAAGGTCACATAATTCCTAACATACAGTAGCTGATAATTTACAAAACATTACAACATGATGGTAACCTGTACCTTCGTATCCCTTAGGTAGTGGAATCGGAATCGATCCGCAACGGTCGTATAAAGGTGTTAGTAGTGGAGCGGCCGGAGCCCGTCCCGCGCGCCCAGGCGGGCAGCACGCCCTACCGCACCGCCAACCACGCCGCCGCCGCTTGTGGTAAATACCGCTCTATACATTACCAGCTACTGCCAAACACTTCGCCTGCCCTTCCATACTATAAAAAGTAGCCTATGCTCCTTTTATTGTATTGTACCTGTTATTCTAGACCACAACCCCTGTTCCAAATTTCATTCCGATCGCTTTACTGCCAATTTCTATAACATGTCTCAATCCAAAATGTGTGAATTAAGATCGTTTTTTGACAGAAACTCCGAACAACTACTGCCAATAATCGATCTATATCGACAGATTTTGGATTAAAATAGTTTATTGAAATTGGCAGTTGGTTTTGACGTAGTTATGTACAAACATGCATTTCCCAAATTTTTATTTATTTATTTAACTTTTTGAAACTAGTAGAGCTTTTCTCAGTATTATCACGTAAATAACCCGCTATTTTTAGTTAAGAAACTATCCTACTCTATCGAAATCTTGTACCATGTTCGAAGGACTTTGAAATGTCTTACGATAGTTATTATAAAGGATAGTTTCTATTGTGATTATTATTGTGCAGGTGTATCAGCACAGACGTTATCCCGTATAACTGGCACGATACTGGTGGTGCCGGGGGAACGACACGACCGGCCTACTGAACAACTCAACAAACTCAACCTGGGACTCAATTTGAAGTTTAATAAAAAGGTAAACAACATTAACGAATATTACTTAACCTGTAAATATCGGAATGTAGATCTACGCGAGATACAATGAGTTTTCTATTGTGTCTCATATATCGACAGACAATAGGTTAATTCCAAGTAGAATGTATTAATTTTCTCTGAACTTTTTGCTTTGAAAATATATTTCAGTTTTGTGGCATGGGTTTAAATAACGTTTATGGTCTACTTAATTGACTCGCCTGATTAGTTTTAATCCACATCGCGGCTCATAATCATGAGCTACGTGTGCAGCGAGCGATGTTGTATAATAATACTTATAGCATATTGACTCTCGGTTTAACTCGAAAACAGTCGAGTATCCTTGAAATTTCATCCTTCATATTACGTGACTTCAGAAAAATTATTCCGCTTTTTGTCCTTACTCAATCATAATTAATATTATTTAATTTCAGCCATGATCGTCCCACTGCAGGGCAAAAGCCTCCCTACCCTCCTTCCACTCCTCTCTATGTAAAGCTTTTTGCGGCCAATCCTTGTCATAGATGTCTAATTCGTCCCGCCATCTCTTCTTAGGCCTGCTGCGACGTATAATATTTAATATTATAATATTTAACCTTAATATTTTTTTTTAAATTCCGATTAGAATCTCGAAGTGGCCGGCTACACGCGTCGCTGTAAGGTGACCAATACGTGGCTATACTCCGAGCGTTGCATAGAACTAGTGCTAGCGTACGAGAAAAAGTATCCTGAGATCTTCGACGTTATCAGCTCGGGAAAACAGAGCAAGGATACATACTTCGAGAGTGATTTCTACCCACAAGATTTTAGGTGAGACCTTTTTCTTTTTATAACTACCTACTTCCATTCGTTTTCACCATCTCTACTCGGCTCCTATTGATCGCAGAGTGAATAGCCTTTCTCGATAAATATACTACCCAACACAAAAGTAATTTTTCAAATCGGTTCAGTAGTTCCTGAGATTAGCGCTTTCAAACATACAAACAAACTCTTCAGCTTTATTTAATAATATGATAAGATATGATGTAACAGACACACAGAAATTGAGCTAGTTAAAGTAGTTCACCAAGATTTTTTTCGGAAACACTCTGTGTATATACCTTAGATTTTTTTTAATTGCCAGTGTAGCCGGTAACCTGGACAGTTTTCTTTGAATAAAATCCTATTGACGATCTATGAAAAAGACTCTTAAAGTTCTGCTTTAAAGTCGTCAGTTTTAAACAATCCTCGGTTAGCTATTCCACCGAGATCATATTTTGCATCCTGTAAGACACAGATTTGGACTTTTTTCTTAAAGTAGTGTATATATAAGGTAATTCCAAACATCAAAATAAAATAATGACATATAGCAATTGATTTCCTTTAACAGTAGCAACAAAGCTCAAGATATAGCGCAGTGGATAAAGGCCCAGGCGCACACGCGCGCCGCGCGCCGCGAGTGTGGGTCGGAGGCGCTGGAGCCCGACGAGATGCGGGCGCTCGCCGCCGACCTGCGGGCACAGGCCGCCGCGCTCTGCGGGGCTGAGAAGACGCACTCCATCCAGGTCAAGTGGAACTTGCTGTATAAGGTGAGAAATGTGTGTGAATAGTAATGACGGGATATGAAAAGACACATGTTTTTTTTTTTTGTCGTATAAAAACACAATATTTAGACAAAACAAACCCGTAAGGTTTTTACGCGGCTCCGTATCGGCATCAACCCTATTGAGCCCCATCTGTGATGTCATTCCTTAGTATAAAATGTACTGAGAAGTGACGTCACGTGACATTTCAAATCAATATATCTTCGAAACTATTAGTTTCTGTGAGAAAATAAAAAATACGTGTCTAATGTTTTTAAATAATCTATCAGACGGACATTAAAATAAAAATTAGTCGTCTACCCCATTGTCGGTTAAACATATAAAGAACCGACACATTTATAATATTAGTATAATATTATTTGATGCTCAACTGTTTTTTTAATGTTCACATCCCTTATCTCCTTTATAGTCTTTTATTTCTATTTTCGTATGCATGCATCGATAGTAAATGTGCCACTCATATCTACTACTAAGATCCCTGCTATTGACCGGGGCTGATCAAAGTAGAAGTAGGAATAGGGTGCATTTTAGTTAAGAGTGTGACACTCGCTTTACTCAGGGCGGGAGTCATTGGAGGACTTTCCTTCTAAATAATCTCTGATACTAATATCTAATATCAATAATAATTGTAGTGTATAACATACTTTATAAACGTTGATTAGAAGTATTTTGTGTTTTTTTTATGGCAGAAGCCGGTAAACGAGCAGACGAATCACCTGATGGTAAGCAATCGGGTTGCCCATGGACACCTGGAACACCAGAGGCGTTACAAGTGCATTACCGGCTTTTTGAGGATTAGGAGTTTGAGGATCGTTGGGGATTCAGGGATTGGGTGATTGGGTAAGGGGAGGGTAATTGGGCCTCCGGTAACGAAACACAACGCAAGCTGCGTTGCTTCACGTCGGTTTTCTGTGAGGGCGTGGTATCACTCCGGTTGAGCCGGCCCATTCGTGCCGAAGCATGGCTTTCCCACATTTAGATTGTATAAAAAAATGAATGACACGGGTGCGGACCAAGAGTCCTTGTAGAATTAACATTAAACCATGTACCCCCCCCCCCCAGCCGGAGCTCCACAGCGGCAACCTGTCCCCGGACCCGAGGGCGGACTTCCGTCTGTACGACCGCGTGGTGTGCGTGGCGCGCCACATGACGGTCCCGCTGGCCGCCGCCGGCACCGTCGTCGCCGTCTGCAGCGCCGCGCCCAGTAATACGGTCCGCCTGTCCGACAAACTCAATGCAGACCCCTCCTACCTCGTCATGTTCGACCAACCCTTCCCCGGCGCCATGACTGAGGATCTCTTCGAAGAGGCGCGGTTTTACAAGTAAGAATATTCTATCCTATGTCACATTTACATGCGTCATTCGAAACTCAAATACCTGAAAAGAGCAATTATGTTACATATTTTTTTAAAAAGAGTTTAAGTGATGGCTCTGACCCTTCCACCTACCTCATCTAATTATAATCTGTTATATAATAAATTATATAAATATATAAATAAATTATAGTCTGACCACAGATTACACAAAATTCATTCAGTCTCAAATACATCATAGAATGTGTCATTTACAAATAATAAACTTAAATAACATAATTATGAATAAATAGATACGACTTTAAATTAACTAAAACAGTGAATAAAAGAAAAAAAAACCATCAGTTAGACGTCAAAGAATTCGTCTACATAACTATCACTGGGAAACGTTCCCAGAAGATTGGCAGCATTGTCACATTGAATTGCAATGCTTATTTTCTGTCCGAAGAAATGGCCAACCCTCTGGTCAGGATTAAAGTCGATTAGCCAATGAACAATTTCCTTATAAACCGATAGAATTTTATTTTCACTATATACTATTAATGTTCTTCAGTATAAGTTCGTTAAAATATTTAAAAAACTGATAGAATTTTATTTTCACTATATACTATTAATGTTCTTCAGTATAAGTTCGTTAAAATATTTAAAAAACTGTATTTTGAACGTTTTCCTTAATTCAGCTTCTACGTATTTGTGTTGAAATATTAATTACAAGTCAATGTTGAAACTAATTGATCCCTATAATTTATTTAAAATATTGTAATTTCCGTTGTTGTGTGCGCAGGATGACGGCAAACAACATGTTGAACTTGTCGTACGGCCGCAAGCTCCGTACCGCGGCGCCGCCCGTGGTGCCACCGGACAGTTTCATACCACAGAGGCCACACAAACAACCCACACACAACATACTGCGCAGGGAGGACGGACATAATTCTGCTTTTGCTAACTATAGGTTTGTATCTTCACATTGATAGATTTACCCGCGTAAGCTAACAAACTTCGCATTTATATTGGGATTTTTTGTAGATGCGACTTAGACCTAGCCTAGTTCACTGATCGTCGTTTTCACCCACCTGCCATCTAAACCATCTCTTAACTAGAGTTACTTAGCGTGAGGAAGCGCCTTAACTAACCTGTACCTTTAAAACAAGAATACATGAATATAACATCACGCCTTTTATCCCCGATTGGGTAGGCAGAGGTACACTATACGGCACTTAATGCCACTGTACAATGTAACACCCATGATGTTATATTTATGTATTCTTGTTTTAAAGGTATTATGACACAATATAAAATACACAATGTTTCGCTTAAATCTATGTTCCAGCAAACAACTGGTTAATAATCAAAGTTAGGATTGCAGTATCAATACTTATATGACGATTGTATTCCAGTCCGCCTGGAGACAAGGCAGTGTCGCCGGACGGCCGCAACCACAACGCTTCTGTTGCGAGCAACGGATCACCCGGTCGGGTATGGCACTCATTACTCATTGAACCTTCATTTCATTCATTGTATCGTGTATTCATAGTGTGTAACAAAAAATCTTTAATCTACTTGAATTAGATAAATCATACTTAACCAGGTTAAGTCATACAAAATTTGTCTTTGAACATTGGTAATAAGGTCTATAATAAATGTGGAGGACACTGATGTCCTCTTAGCTTAAATTTGTACATAGATACCATCTCTTTGATAATACAATTACTTTAAAGATAATGTAATTTCCCCAACAGAATAGCGCGACAGATTTACTGAAAAGTCTACTGAAAATCAGCGAGGATCCTGAAGTTAAGAAGAGCAAGGTAAAGTTCGCTTTTAATTAAAATTAATTACTTTTTTTTATTTATTAAGGTCAGCCAACGACTGTTTACACATCATATTACAACAAATCGGTTTACAATATGCATTTGCTAGTGTAACAATCAATTAAAGGCTAAAACATCATGCACAAAAGAATAAGTATTAGCCTAAGTTTAAATTATTAAACACAAATACAAATTTCCCATAAACATTATAAAATATATAATATTTCCTCACTTCTTTACCTCAGAAACTACTAAGCCGATTTTTATACTGTTTTCGCCGGTTAATAGGGTAATTCATGATGAAGGTTTGACTGTATATTACTTATCAAGATTTCTGTCTTTACACAGAAAACTATTATCTACTCCAAGAAATGTAAATAATATGTATATAACCCTTTCCAACTGTATATTGGATTAGCAATATAAAAGCTAAACTTTAATTTTCTGTGTAGGAAACTCCGACATCTGAAAATTCTCGCAACTGGCGAGCGAAGAATGACAATACACAGTCGACTGCTGTCTATCCTCAACAGAGGTAAGGTTTTTTAACTGACAATACTGGCATCCTCATGAATCATCGATACCAATCCAAAGTCTCTGAATAAATTTAAAATTTTGAGAAAATTTCAATGGAAATCTGTCGAAATTCAATCACAATCCAAAGGTAACTAAAAAACGCGGGTTACTGACGTGAAAATACTGACAAAAGTTCTACTATTTTAGTTAATATCTCACGATAGTTATTACAAAAATACAATCCAAAGATTTCGCGGACGCTTTAACAAGTTACCGGAAGTAAGTTACCGGAACTACAGGTCGATGCAGAAGTATGATCGGGGTGGTTTTTAATGGGTAAGAGTCTGATACTCCCTTACCCAAGGCGGGAGAAGTCACTAAATGATCCCCCACTCAAACTTCTCTCATCCAAAGATAATTGCGACTATGATGTTAATCATAGATTTCTGCGAGTTTTTAATTAACTTTGTATATTTGATATGTTGTTTATTTTTACGCAAGCACTCCTCCTGTGTTTTGGAGTTTATTTTCTGGGTAAGACACAGAGTCCTTTATGTCGTTCATAAATAATGTCTATAAGAACTTACTGTGAAATAAATTCAGCTTTAGAAAATCTAGTAGTATTACTATCTATAAAGCTAAAGTTTGGATATACTTTAAACGTAATATTATAATCACTAGGGGTCCGCCGCCGCCTCAGAACTGGCGCAAAGAGAATGCATCGCTCGGCAACAACAACCGACAGCCACCTGTCTTCTCTAACTACAAGGTTTGTATACTACCTGACATAACGTCACTACATTAATGTTTATATTGCAATTAAATGACATAAAATATAAAGTGATTTCAAATGGAATCGAACAGTGTGTCGCATACTTATTCGCCAATTTGGAGACCCGTGGTCGGGGCGAGATTGTTGCTAAACCGCCAGACGCCATTATAGACTCGAATAGTACCTATTTTAAAACTTCACACAATGTGACATATGTCCATATTGGACAACTTTAAACAGCGTCAACATATATTTCATCATGTATATGTGAACTTGTATGTTTGTAAACGGACATGTGAGGAGCATGTTTTTTTTAATCCAATATATATCTAATCCAAATTTTAATTTCAACAGAACCAGGCCGTTCCCTCCTTCCCGCCGTTTCCAACCTTCGGCCAACCCTACCCAGTTGCGAACCAGATCCCGTTCCCCCAGTTCCAAAACCCCCACTTCCAACGCAACCAACAATACAACATGCCACGGAACCAAGGATCACACAATAGGAGCTTCGAGCCCACACAAAACAGGGGCTTCGAACAATCACAGAACAGGAGTTTGGAACCAACTAACATCAGGAATTTGGAACAATCCCATAACAGAAATTTCGATCAACAACCACAGAACCGTAATTTGGATCCACCACAGAACTTCCCCAAACATTTGCCCAGCGTTGGCGCTGTTGGACCCAACATCACGTTGGGACCAAGTTGGCACCAACCTACTAATCCACCTAATACACAGGTAATTATTGTAATTTATATTTATTGATTTTGTAGTCAATCCTTCTTTATATTCAATTCTCTTTGTATCAAGTATTACCCAATGATAGGTCTTCCCCTGACTTTTGAACTATATAGTCATGTGTACAAAATCTATATAAAATACTGTATAATATTGTCTATTACCATATTAGTCAATTTGTGACCTGCCTACTGAGAACTGAGAATGTCCAAGTCGCCAAGAATCAATAAACAGATTACGATCAAATTGATTTACAAACATTTGACATAAAATAACGTATATAAGTATTATATTATACAAGGTGTTGTTTTAAAGCCGCCTCATTTTCTACGAGGTACCTCTGCTATCGATTCTGAGTCCGAATGAATAAAAAAAATTGTAAGTAAATATTTTAAATTTTTCTGAAATTACGGAAATCCGTAAGTGCGGATTAAACGCCGCCGTCTTGTAACTAGCTTTATAACGCGGCTCGGTTAAACACACAAACTCAAACACGTAATTGATATTATTCGTAATTCCATAAAACTCCAATAAGAAACATTACTGTCGCTTATTCTGAAATACTGTCGAACTTAAACGATTTATTATAGCCGTATTTCTAACTATTGGCCCGAAATTTTCTCTTACTTTGAACCTCTATGACTTCTGTGACATGCCCGCGAGAAATGACACGGTTTTAAAACTACACCTTGTATGTGTATATAAGTATTCAGACGCATTCCAATTTTAATTAAGATGAAAGCCCTCTATTTCATTTTAATACATTGAACGTCTATTTCTACGAAAACTTGACTTGTATCATGGAGTTACTTATCTATTTAGAGTACAAGTAATCAAGTACATATAGTTTATACAATAACATATCGTGCAACGATAGACAATTGGAACAGGGGATGTTTGCAACTGAAGTGTACGTGACGCATACTTACCTGTGTGTGTAACAATCACTCTGCTAATGAGGAAAATCAATACTTTTGTAATTGAGACGTGAACTCGTTGATATAATGGATTATCTGCTAACCGTATGATGACTGCAGAATAAAAATTTACTAGCTACTCGCGCGCGATTTCACCCGCTCTGCTCTGCGCCTCGAACGTGATGTTTTATAGCCTATGCCCTATAGCCTTCCTCGATATACATAGTATCCAACACAAAAATATTTATTCAAATCGAACCAGTTCTTTCTGAGATTACAGCATTCAAACATACAAACTTTTCAGCTTTATATTAAAATTAGTTACTTCCGCGTTTTCCGCTTTTCCGCTTTTCCGCGGCACGTAGCGTGATATTTTATAGCCAATAGCCTTTCTCGATAAATGGGCTATCTAACACAAAAAGAATTTTTCAAATCGGACCAGTAGTTTCAGAGATTACCGCGTACAAACAAACAAACTCTTCAGCTTTATATTACGATTATACTCATCATCATATCAGCCACAGGACGTCCACTGCTGAACATGGCCTCCCCCAATGACTTCCAGATAGGCCGGTTGGAAGCGACCTGCATAGTAATTATACTAATAATTCATAATTATACTATATTATATTAATTAGAAGATAAGATTTGTTATCACATCTACCGTTCCCCTGGGTTTCGTAAGAGTCGATTAACATATTTAACAATCCCACCCATGGCCATGTAGAGAAAGCTCGGTTCAACTGTAGACTGTATGGACTGTTGATGTGTAGTTTATCAAAAGGTATTGTCTCGTTGGACGAGGCAAGGAAAGCTTACCGGGTGACTTATTTAACGAACGAAACTCTTAGTTGAGGTTTCATTAAAGTACAATATCATACTAAAGACTGCACGGTTGGTGCGGTACCCAGACAACCGCCTGCCACGGGTTCGATTCCCCCATGGAACAACTCTTTGTAGAACATTTGACGCGTGGCGAGTTCGATTCCCGCACGGAACAACTCTTTGTGTGATCCACAGATTGGTGTTCCGGGTTTGGGTGTTATGTGTTTAGATATTGTGTATTTGTGAACGCACCCACGACACACGAGAAAATTATTGTGCAATGATTAGGTATTTTTTCAATTTAATTCTTTTTGATTCATTTAGATTCCGTCCAAAAAGGTTTACTTACTAGTATGCTAATACATATCTTCATATTTCTCCCTCCATATAGAGGCAATGCGCAAATTTGGTGTCTTTGGTATTGTGGGCTACTGTGCTCACTTGATGACGTTAGATTCAATCTCTCGTTTTTCGAATAAAGTAGTGTCACACGATTAGACGCTCATGCCCGAATACTGAAAGGCTACTCAATATATTCTAAGTTGTACAGTAATATGGTATAATTTATAGTGACAGAACTATACTTAAGCGCGACTTAAAATTGAGTTGCGTTTGAGAATTTCGACATCATATTTTTTTATGGTACAAGCTTCCTCAACCGCCCAAAACCGCTGCAACTCCTGTAAAGTAAAAAGTAAACATTCAATATTTGATAGCTGCAGCGATTGGATAAAAACCTCTCGCTACATTTGCGCCACCTTGTGACCAAAAAAAACGGTAGCCTCCAATTGGTTATCAAAACCTTCAACCGTTAAAAACTTAATAGGTACCTCTATCAACTTCTTTCTTAGCTGAATGACCACGAAGAAGTTTCAGGTTCGGTAGTCAAGACAGGCTACGAATTATTTTGCACACCAATACAAAAAATAGCACTAAGTCTGAAATAGCGGAAAATGTTGCAACACATTTGACCAATCCACTATTTCATGCAACCGCAACAAAAGAGAAATTGAGTTTAAACAAAACGGTCTAAATTAGCTGTGCGTAATCAAGTCACTTAACTAGGTGAAAAATTGAAGAAAATCCCTTATATTTTCACGTAATAATAAGCCAAGTGTCTATATTTTAATCTAACTTCATTCGTTTGTTACAGAACCCAAGGTCGCCTAACGCTAACAGACCTCCCCCACAAACCAGCAACGACAAAGTCAACAATCCATTCGTACCATTACAAGTACAAACCAGGTAAGTTAAAAACTTTCGGATACGAAAATATTAATATTTACACTACAGTAAATTGTTACGTAAACTTACACAACATCACGCCTTTTATCCCCGAAGATGTAGGCAGCGGTACACATTACAACAGTAAATGCCGCTGTACAATGTAACACATACTTTTCACTATTTATGTTAAGAGTCCCATGTAATAGGGGCTGTGCCTATTGCCAAATACCGGGCACAATTTCAGGCTCCGTGCTATTACTGACAATAAAAAACCAGTAATACTTTGCCCGATTAATCAAAATGTGTTAAAAATTCCACTTCAAATAGCCGAATCTACCAAAAAATTGATTATTGACACTTTTAGTTAGTAAAATATAGAAGAAACTTATGAAACTGGCCGTTCATCGTCAACTTTAACTAGTTTCCGTCCACCAATTTCCTCCCAGATGATAATTTGTAGAATACTTTAGAGCGTTGTATTATGAAGCGTTATAAAGTTCAGCTGCGGTGCATACAGCGGGTTGGTCAATTACCGACGGAGAAGAAATAACACACAAAAATTAGTGCATATCTTACGGACTAATAGGCATCTCCAACAATCATTAATGAGTATACCTATATGACAATTGTCACCATCATACTAAAAAAACACTTGAAACTCATTAAAATAATTTAAACACTGAATCATTCACTATCACGTAAACGTGATTGTCTCTGTATTGTTGTAAAATACCTGTATTGTTACACTCACTATGAGTGCTTACTCACAAACACTTCCGTAGAGTAATCCTCTAATATAATATATGTAGATGTATGTATGTTCAGTGTGTATTGACTAGATATGCTATCTAAAGTAATATGAAAATCAATAATGCTATTGTTTTTATATGCGTTACATAGGTATTGAAGGTCGATGCAGCGAGGGTAATTTTGCTTCAGTTTTTGCATACTCTTATTCTCACAAAATAAAGCAACATATAGTACACAGAAATATATTCATATAGTTTAATAGTATACATAGTTTATAGGTCGCTGACGTACTCGTTTCCCCATTTATTTAACCTTCCAATGCAAGCTAACATTGAACTATACTTATCCTGGCGATAGAACTTATAAATCAAATAAATAAATACATTTTTGTATGCTCAAACTTGATAGTTAATTGGAGTAATTCACCACCAGAAGTCGCTTTTAATGGCAGCATTAAATATATAATAGCCCATAGAAACAAATAGAATAAGAAGGACACGACATATTCATGCTAACGCCACTCCAATCAAGTAGCCAGTATCTCTCGAAGGCGACTACGTATTTACGAACAAATCCCAACAAGGTTCTGTTAATTTCCATATCTTTCAACAATTTCATTGTTATGCATGTTACTGAAAATCACGTGAGAGTAGTTATTGATCAGGTGATTTATTGGAAACTTTTTATTGTATAAAAACGTTACCTCATACTAGGAGTTTCTCCTGTGTCGTGGGTACGTTTACAAATATACAATTTTACCCAGAGCCGAAGCAACAATTTGTGGATCACACACAGATTTGCTCCGTTAAGCGGCAAAGTCAACTTGTACCATGCTTGCACCTTTGAAGTAGCTATTGATGATATAGATAGACTTTCTCTCTTCTGGTAGCGACTAACTAGGTCGTGATGGGAGCATCAGGCGATATAGCAACCAAACGCCTACCTGTTACCTATAAAAAAAGTTACCAGTAGTACACTAGTCACAGTATTCTGTACACACATACCTTCTTCGATTCGTGGAAACCGGGTACAGCAATCCTTGCCTACTTCTTTAGCTTCCAACACGTTCATACGTCTAGTCTTACGAGTCCACATTGGTTAACCACACCTAGATGTTTTCCAGAATCTATCTTATGATTTCAGCTTATATTCTCCTAGTGCGACCGCTGTGTGTGAAATAATATTTAAAGTTATTTATCCAACAGGCGTGTCTCCCACCCCGGCGGCTCGTCAAGTAAGCAGGATTTGGGTCAGTCGTCGTCACAGAAGTCGACATTACCCAAGCCACAGCCCACGACTGCACCGGTAAGTTTTATACCACCTTCCTTCTCTTATTTATTTTTTTTTTATATACGTTCTTAACAAGTAGTATGAAGTGATTTTGTTATGCAAAATGATTATGAAATCTTCACTATTGATTATTTAATAAAATATTAAGAAAGCGGTGCTAAATAAAGAGATCAACTAAACTCAGTACCTTGACACTAGTAACCACCACCAAGTATTTAAATAAAGAACATGACAAAATAAAAAAGGGTGAAAAATTTGTTAAAATTCTTTTTAAACATTATAAACAGATAAACCAACAGAACCAGGGCCAAACTGCGAAACCAACAAAGAAGAAGAAAAAGTCAAGAATAGCAGCCAACCTGCCTTTCCAAATAGATTAAATTTATTTTAGTTATAATACAGATTATATAGGGTGTTGACTTACCACCGAACATTCTAGATGTTTTAACTCCATTTCTCGAAACTTCAAAAGTAGTAACGATATTTTTGAACTGTTCCAACTACCAAATCCATTGTAGACCTTATTTCCGATGTTTAGAGACTATTTTTGTATAAACGAGTTAAACGCAATCGACCTTTAATTTGTCAGGGCGTATGTTTCCCGAAGGGTATCTATTTTAACCTGGGAATCTTCAAGGCCCGAGTGAATAGGTTGATTAGTCGTGCTCCATCGAAAGAGTGGTCAAACGCCCATGACATATAAAAATGGCAGCAATTATGTGTTTAAATGTCATTTGTCTAGGGGGCTAAGTAGTTTTCGATGTATAGATTATTATTGTTTTAGTGACATAGATTTATATTCATTAGGTATAAGTAAATAAAATCTTTGAAGTATACAAGTGGATAAGTCACCACCCTATCTCCGATTGTGACCTCTGCTCATAGTGTAGGCATTGTTCCTAAATTTTAATTCTTATTATTTAAGTTTAGGTATCAAATTGTACCTATTGACATATCAAATGGGAACTAAAGACCTCCAAGAGAGATGTGACCATCTATTTACTCCTAGTTTCTGAAAGGTTGATCAATGAGAATTTAATATTTTTTTAAATATTAAGTCTTAGTAATAAAATTGATTTCAAATGAAATCTCATTAAGTTAAATCGATTTTAAGCAACTTATCGGTTCACATTTAATACTGCACTAGACTGGAATTCAGTCGACCCAAACGTGCGTTGTATGCGGTCATTCCCATTTGGAAGAAATACATACTTGTATTATGGATTTTAGGGAATATATTGTGTGCGGATATAATGTGAAATTCATGTTCATTATTGGAAATAAGGTTCTAATACGGAAGCTTAAGCATAATTTTAGAGTGACTTGGATCCCTTTCAGAAATCCGGGGTGATTTATTTGATAATAATTTAGTTTTTATATTATAAATTGTATTTTAATAATTGAACATTGAAGCCTGCACTAAGACTGGGCTCAATCTATTTATAAGTTTGACTTTGAACTGAGCTTACGATTGAAAAGGAAAGAAAAAAAAACAGGAAAAGCAAATTTCCGAGGTGAGAAATAAAAGTTTGGTACATGCCTGGATTATATAATGAAATCTTGTAAATTTTGTAAATATTATGAAGTTTTAAGAATCTGTAATGAATGAGTGTGATCAATTTGTTTAAATGTAATAAAATAAAGTTGAGAGTATACGTTCTGGTTGATACCGGACTAAAGTATTATCTTTTCGAGAGTTATCATTAAATGTGAGTGAGATTTGTGGCGCAAATTGGGATACATATTGGAATGTTAAATGTACAGTCGGCCAACTTATTTAGTATACACCTAAGGAACTAAAGATTGATCTAGAACAGATACAGTAATGTTATACAAAATGGCATGATTTAACAAAAGCCAGATCTTTCCAGATCTTTCTAACCTACATACTAAATAACTTAGCTGGCTAACTGATCGGAAAGTTACATAGTTCCTCAAATCACCTTATTAAGTAAGGTTCTCCCGCGTCATAGACGTTAACAATTGAATTATCTTCTTTTCACTCAAGTACAGAGAGAATATTTTTCTACACTCACCTGTTTAATTCCTTTTATTTTTCATGGGGAAGGCAGATGTGTTAATTTATTTGAATCTTAAAGCCTGTTTTGCTAGAGTCGATTCTTCACTGCCGCCAAATAGAAGATACATTCTATCTCGCTTAGGTCTACGCTTCAGTAGGTAAACTGCGGTTAATTTTCTTTCAGCTTGATTAACTAAAATTTGTATGAGAGATACGTACGTTTAACTGACAGTTGGACTAACTGAACAGAACTTAACTGAAAGCAGTGAAAGGGCGCCTTAGTATGACTAATTTTGTGCAAATTACTTATCCAATTATTATTATTATTTGTTTAAGCAAAAACATACGTAACACGTATTAAAATACGTCATAATCTCTCGTTCTCAACCGAAGTAACGTAGTGTGAAGATAAATATACATTATTTAATGTATTCACAATTTAAAGCCTTTGTTGATGAATGAAATGACTTGACGAGTTAACGTTGTGTGTTATTATTGTAATCTCGAGGTGAAACAACTCTGTACTTAATTGCATGTTGAAAAAATAATGTTTTTTTTTTACAATTTGTTTTTACGCATTTTGAGTCGTTACTGCCTTGTATTAGGTGGATTATAAAGTCGCGTGCCCATTGTCTATGTTAGGCAAATATTTTAATCTTGGTGGTTCGAAATTCAAAGATGTCGGTCGTGTGCGCGACCTCTCTCCAGTCATGTCTTATGGCCATCAGATCTTGAATCAGATATCAGTGATATCTTCACTATAGTAATAAATCCTCCTTAGTTCTCTAGTCTCTATTGAGATCAATTTCCATTGACCATATTTATTTCTTTTTTTATGGAATAGGGTGATAAACGGTGACAGATCACCCGATGGTAAGCGTAAGCAATCGCTAATACTCGCAACACTATTGTAATTATAAGTGTGTTGTGGACCATTGTTTAGGTGATGTTGCGAGTGTCCTATATTATGGACACTCGTAAACCAATGCAATATTTTTTATTTTAATATCCATCTAGTAGATTATTTTAAAACATTAGACCCGCTTTTTTAATTTCTTTCCGAACAAATACTTTCGATGATATTTTGATTTAAATATCGCGTGACGTAACTTCTGGGTGCGTTTTGTACGTAGAAATGACGTTTTAGTTTCCACTTCTAAACTTGGATTCGTTTATCGAAGTATTGCTTAGCTATACGACAAAATGAAAAATACGTGTCTAATATTTTTTCGTTACCTGACTGACGGACTTGACATTTTAAATTTTCATACCCTGCGCTACCCTACATTACGATTACGTTGCTCGCTATTGTGTTAATATATTTGTTTAAAGAAACAAATGGTGCTGGTATTAATTGGAACCCTGCCTTCCTCAATAACCAAAATCTTACTTCAACTTCCACGTGTAGACTTTAATAGTACAAAGTACTTAGAGAATTATAAATAAATCTATTTTTCTCGTCTATAAAACTTTTCCCTAAACCCGTACCTTTTAAATTGTAGTTGCAAAATAGCCTCGTAATAATTGTTATGCATAAATACTCCATAAAAGTATAAAATAAAGAAATATAAACTATGTTTCCAGTCTATTCAAACAATTTTGAACTCTATTCCATGTTGTGTTGGTTTCATAATTGTTTATACTGGTTAGAGTTCATTTTGTATGAATTGACTATGATAAAATTTATTGTTATAGTATCAAATGTTATTTTTTCATTTGTCTCTAAATAATAACTGATTTTGATTGATTTCAGATACATTTTGTATGATGTTCTATATTTCTAAACTCTAATTTCGTGTATATAAAGTTGAGTTTCAATGAAAGTTAAATTATAATTTTACCTACATCATGTTTCGCGACTACATTCGGTTGGACAAATAATTTGTTATCAATTATCGTACAAAATGTATCACCAAAGATTCAAGTGTTCTAGTTTTAAATGAGCATAATACACGTTTAATTTAAAATATAACGTATATCTTACAACTTAAGGTCCATTTTTGAAAACACATGGCTGAAGGCCTTGTTTGAGTCGATGGGAGTCCTTTATTTTTATTGTTAAAATCCATTACTGAATATTGAATACGAAATATGATATGTAGCTAAAATGCATTTAGTATAATTTCAATAACTATTCTAATGCAAAAATAATAAGATTGAAAATCTCTTAACAATGAGCAGACAAAGACGGATGATATAATTTTGTTGTTATGTGCAATGTACTCATATATATTTATGTTGTATTTTATTCAGTAATGGATTACTTGAAATGACATTCTTACTAGTTACTTATTCAATACTTCTGTGTTTATTTTTAAAATTGTGTTCATTTGACATACTTTTTATTCAGTTTGACCTTATTTTTATATATAAAATCAATATTATGACCCATTAAAGTGAAAATTGCAAATCCGAATTTGATTTTTATTACCTAGACTTCGTACGCGCCATCCCGTTTTCTCCCGTTCCCGTAGGATTTTAGAATTTTTTAGAAGTCGCGTGATGCATTGATTAATTTTTGCATGCATGGGATTCATTTTTATATCATATATAGATTAAAGACTGTACTCCCGCGCGGTATCACTCACTGCTCGGTTCCTATTGGTCGTACCTATTCAACATGATTCAATTTGAACCAGTAGTTCCGGAGATCAGTGCGTTTAACAAATATTTTTATTTATGTGTCTAAATGGACATACATTTAAATCTGACACATCTGAGTTGAGCAAGTGTGCACGAATGGGCCGGCTCGACCGGATTAATACCACGGCGTCACAGAAAACCGACGTGAAACAACGCTTGCGTTGTGTTTCCTCGTGTGAATGAGGTTACCGGTGGCCCAATTACCCCCTCCCTGTCTCCCAATCCCGAATCCCCCATAATCTTCAAATTCGCAAAAGGCCGGTAACGCACTTGTAACGCCTCTGATGTTTCAGGTGTACAATGTACATGAGCGGCGTCGATTCCGTCCGCTTGTTTTCCGGCTTATCCCATAATAAAAAAAAATAAACAACTAAAGTAACTAAAATTAGGTACCACGTAGAATTACAAGATTACTTCTATGTAATTTAAATTCTTACGTCTTGTATATAATTAAAAACAGAAAATAGCTGTATTAAAGATAAGTAGTCACATGAAAATATCGCAATTTACTCGACGTGTCGACCACGGTAACACAACTCGTACATAAATAAAGTACATTCATTTTGTTAGGGCCTGTTTCAAAATGTCTGGATAACCGCCATGTACCAGATCTTGAATTAAGAACTTAATTTATGCAAACTATCTGTCACATAAGTTTGTCGGGTACTAGTGATCATGAAGATGGCGTTTGAATTAAAAAAAATCCAGTGACTGAATTTCAGTTCAAGGCTTAGCTTCCACATTATGGAACCTAGATCTGAAGTGCCTGAAGAAATCTTATTAGGTATTAAAACTTGATGATAGCGATACAAAATGCAAACAATTTCGAGTGCTCGTTATACCGGCCACTTAAATCTTACTGCATATAAGGACCGGAATGGAATAACCACACTCATTTATGGTGCTGCAGCGTTATAAGGTCGGTATTTATTTTTTTAAATACATAATTAGTGCACATAGTCTTTGGACACGGAATAAAGCGTAAGCATGTCATCTTATTCTACTTCTTCCTCATCAAACAAAATCTTAGTAAAATATTCCTCATTAAGTACTATTTGTGAAAATTGTATGAAAATCAGTTTAGTAGTTTTCTAGTTTGTAGCATTTAAATGTGGTGTAATTTTATTTGCTATGTTATAGCAGTGATGGTATTCGAATATGTTATCCATTGAGCTTCAAGATCATACACCATTAAGTGCTCATGTAATCAGATATCAATTAAATATATCAGATATTGAGTAGTGTAATTGGTATTTGTACCATTCTATTCAAATAAATAAATAATCAAGAAAATCTACCAGATATTGAGGAAATAGGGAGTGATATTTTGACATGTAATTAAAGCAAAGTAGTTTAGTCGTCCCCATGAATTTATATTCAAAAGTTTCTTTGGAGACTGCTTTGTATCGACACACACATTCCTTTAATTTTATATTTTTTAAAGAGCTACAATACTATACATAATACCTTTGTGTACTTTTTATACAGTAACTGAAAATGCGGTTGTTAGCGCTGTTAGTGTTAGCTGCAGCGGCAGTGAGCGTGTCCTGCGTGGACATGTGGTTCAACTCCGCCGTTGTATACCAAATCTACCCCGCTCCTTCATGGACAGCAACGGCGACGGCATCGGGGACTTAACTGGTAAATTGAACATTATGTTAATAGATTTAGAACAGCCTCGTTGGCCGAGTGGTCGCAAGTGCGACTGCCGGGCAAGGGGTCTCGGGCAAAGTATTACTGGGTTTTAAAAAAATTCTCAGTAGTAGCATGGAGTCTGGAATTGTGCCCGGTATATGGCAATAGGCTCACCCCCTATTACATGGGACTCATAACATAAATAGTGAAAAGTGGATGTTACATTGTACAGTGGCATAATGTGCACTTCTGCCTATCCCTTCGGGGATAAAAGGCGTGATGTTATGTTATGTTATTTAGAGCTTTATTTTATGTATAGTCGGCCTTTTGTAGTCAATTAGTAAAAGATCTCCCGTGTTGGGTTTTCAATAATTGGATTGTAGTCGGTGTAGTGGCAATATTAATAGTCCGTGATTGCTGGAATTGAAAACTAGAAAATTGGGTGCTAATATTTATGAAGTCAAAACCATTCTCCAAATTTCCTTAGATTAACTGCAATCCCCAAATGTCAGAGGATTATTAGCAAACCTTTGTAACCAAACAGCAAAACAATGTAACTAGTAAATTGTATTGTGAACCTTATTGAAAAAGAGTAACCTATGGAGTTTCTTGCTCGTTCTTCTCCATAGGAATCTACACCTTGGAATGAGCAAATAGCTTCAATTTTATTATTTTTGTTGACGTTCAAAAGTGCCATTCTGGCCTAGTTGCAATAAATGATTTTGACTTTGATTTTGACTTTTTCAGCAACCAGCAGCTATCCAATTAATAATGATGTTTCTTATCAGGTATAAAACAAAAGCTGCCGTACTTACAAGAGCTGGGTGTGGACGCAATCTGGTTGTCTCCTATCTACAAGTCTCCTATGTACGACTTTGGGTACGACATCGCTGACTATAAGTCCATAGCGACTGAGTACGGCACTATGGATGACTTCGATGCTCTCATGGCCGAAGCTAAAAGACTCGGTAAGTTTTATAACAGGTACCTGTACCTACTTACTTAGAACTACTTTTATTCCTTAATTTTTCATTAATTAGTAGTAGCACGGAGTCTGGGATTGTGCCCGGTATATATGCTCACCCCCTATTACATGGGACTGATAACATAAATAGTGAAAAGTGGATGTTACATTGTACAGTGGCATAATGTGCACCTCTGCCTACCCCTTCGGGGATAAAAGGCGTGATGTTATTTTATGGTTCTTTTTATTAATTCCCTTTTGCCTTAAAAAGTAAAATATGTAAAAATACTGCCTTTTGAGATTTTTCGAGATTACCGACCCCGGTCAAGCTCGAATCTTGTCGGGCGTTCTCGAAATACAACGATGTAAGTAAAACATAATAATGATAATTTATTCTCATCTAGGTGTCCGTGTGGTGTTGGACTACGTGCCCAACCACACAAGTAACGAGAGCGTGTGGTTCACAAACTCCATAGACAAAATAGGCAACTACACTGATTACTACATCTGGGCTGACGGCATACCTGACGAAGCGAACGCTAGCATTCTCCACCCGCCTAGCAACTGGGTAAGGAAATGTTATAGGTACTAACTTGTACCAATTCTTCTTAATTTTCTCAGCAATAAATTCGTTTACGATTGTCAGTATTTTTTTATTCTTTCGGATTTCACACAAGTTGTGACATTTTGTGGGGAATAAAATAAGATTTTCTAACTCGATAAATATTTTTTCTTAGCTTTGATAAAGGGAAATAGCTTTTATCTATAAGGAGTTTCAAGTACTACAAGAAGGACTGTGTAGGTAATGTCCATCGTATCGTAATCATCGGCTCTTGAAAGACAATGTTAATGATGTCATCACGTCATCAGTAATAAACGTTATCAAGTGGCTTGATTGCCCAACACTTTATTATTTGCTGTTCCAAGAAAATAAACGGAGAGAAATGAAAAGCGGAAAATGCCTATTTCTTTGATACGCCTCCAATGATATCGTAAAAGTACTTAGTGCATGTTTATTTACGGTAAAGCGAGCATTTGTGACGTTCGACGCTCTGATTGGCTGTTCCAAGTTGACCAACAATCAGAAAACTAAACGCGGTAACGTTTTGATAACTCGTATTCAGCACTCTTGAGGCCTTAAGGCCTTAGTAGTTTAGTACCAGTTTGTTTTACATTTGATTGGTTGGTTCATTGGAACCGGCCAATCAGAGGCGTTAGTACGAGTTTCTTTTTCGTTTAAAGTAATCGTCGAGTACGCGTTCGGCGTTGTGATTGGCCGGCTCCAATGAACCAACCAATCAGAGAGCCGGAGGCAGTCTCGTTTCTATAACTCGTTTGTAAAACAAACTTGTAGTTAACCCTCTGTTTATTTTGATCACCCTACACAGTATGATCATAATATGCTTATGTCGCATTGGATTTTAATGGATTTTGACGTTTTGTTGGTCACAATTTTGGCTTACATACCGAGCATATCATACTTGAAATATTGGGAACGAATGAAGTGTATCACAATAAAGCATTCATAAACTTAGCACTTTGTAGCCTGGCTTATTTTAGCTTATTGTCTTTAAGTCTTTAGTCCGATTGCAGGTCATAGGGTGCCAAGTTCGGGCTACGTATTATCATTGATTTAAATTTAGCTGTTCAGTATTCTAACTAAATTATTTATATTTTAAAGTGAAATTTCCTTTCAGATCAGTATATTCCGAACAGTGCGTGGGAGTACAATGCTAAACGAGGGCAGTACTACCTGCATCAGTTTGTCATGGTCAGCCAGACATCAACTATCGATCACCAATACTGCGCGAAGATGAAGGTACGCACGTATTCACCCTGTAGTTTTGGTACTTACCAACTAGTTAAATTCAATACGTTTTGCGAATTGTCAGATCAGAAAGGACAGTACGAGATTGTGTATTGTGACGTCCGTCACGTTTTTTAGCGTCAAACAATTACTTATTTCTTGAAATTTTGTGATAAAATACTAAAATTAAGTTGGTCATAAAATCAATTAATGAAAGTGTCGTTATTTTATATTTTCTTATATTGAACAGTCGAATTATTTTATTTTTGATTAACGAAAGTACCTACTCAATTTTGAGACACAATCAAAAATACATTATTGTTCAAATACTCGTTATTTTTAAGACTTTCTCAAGAATAATTCTGTCACTACAAATTCTTTTTAAAATGATAGAAATAGCACGATATTTAGGTACAACTTATATTTGCGTTGTTTCACTATGGCTTTCTGCTCGGTTACACTTTAGTATTCGGGCGTATGTCTCGCGTAGATCTACTTTCAGTTCTACATACAAGGGTTCAGTAAGTTGTATAAATAGCATTATGTTGGCATGGCACCTAATGATAATTATAATACACGGAAGAACACGGCCAAGCCGCTGACTACACAGTCGGGAAACACCCCTCGAAGCGCGGGCACAAAAAAACATACAGACTTTCGCATTTATAATAAGATTAGTAGTTCTTTTAAGAATGATCATATTTAGACGTATTCTTATTTTCAATTATTTCTAAGTAAAGTGGGTTATACTTATAATACTGAATCTGGGATCGTCTCCGGTATAAATAGCTAGCAATAAGATCACCCCCTATTATATGAGGCTTATGATGTGAATGATGAAAAGTAGACATAAGATATACAAGTTCGCCTCTTCTTACAACTTCGTGGAATACTAAAACATGTGATATAAAATTTTAAATCGACTTAGTACCTTAGCAGGCAACGGAAGTCGCCATTATGATGTGTCGCTGAGATCGTATCGGCGCACTTATTGTGTATGTAATGTAAACACGTCGTTCACAACAATTTAAATTATAAAAAGTAAAGAAAATAATTGTCTGTTATACTTAGAACTTTAGAAGTAAACTGAGTTGTTGGTGGAGAGATTTTTGATGACTAACGCTCGAATATTGAAAGGCTACTTAATATTAAGTTTTTTTATTATTATAAAAACGTTAACCCACATAGTAATTTCTTCTGTGTCGTGGACTCGTGGGTGCGTTTACAAACATACAAGTTCACATACACATGACACCCAGACCCGAAACAACAATTTGTGGATCACAGTGTTGTTCCGTGCGGGAATCGAACCCGCGACACGTTGAACGGCAGCCGATTGCCCAGCCACCGCGCCAACCGTGCCAAGATAGTACATAAATATCGTGCCATCTCTGTTATTTTATAAAGAACTAGCTTTTACCCGCGGCTTCGCTCGCGTCACAAAAGGATAAAAAGGCAATGTGACATATACCAATACACACAGCGCCATCTATACCAAAACTTTTGTTTTCCCTCGGGAATATCAAATTTTTCCGGGATAAAAAGTACCCTATTATTTAATCCGGACTTTTAACTTTACGTGTGCAAAAATTCAAAGCAATCGGTTTAGTAGTACAAACAAACAAACTCACTTTCCCATTTATAATATTAGTAAGGATTAGTAGTTCTTTTAAGAATGATCATATTTAGACGTATTCGTATTTTCAATCATTTGTAAGTAAAGTGTTACTTACGTGAGTGGGTTATAATACTGAATCTGGAATCGTGTCCGGTATACATAGCATATAATATTAGTAAGGATTTGGAGTGGCAGAACTATACTTAACCGCGACATAAAATGTTAGTGGCGTTTGTGTATTTCAGCGTAAAAATGGTCAATGATTGAGTTTTAGGACTTGACTTAGTATCTCGACCGGCTGCAGCTAACCTTGCGGGTTACCGGTTTTTTTTTAAGGGGGGAAAATCATCGAATGACTGCCCCCACCTGGGTGAGGCGGGAGGGAGTGTCAGACTCTTACTGACTAAAAACCACCCCGTTCCTTCTCCTGCACGTCGAGCCGGAGCCCCGGTTCCCCGTTAGGTTCTCCGCGACTACGGATTACCGGTAGCTCTGATTCAAAGCAGAAGTAGTAACGTAGTAATTTTTACTCAGAAAGAGTCTGAAACCCCTCAATCATTTGATCATTTATATAACGGAAATGAGAAAATTATGCCATGATTCACAGGACGTGCTTCGTTTCTGGTTGAAGAAGGGAGTGTCAGGGTTCCGTGTGGATGCGGTCAACATGCTGTATGAAGTAGACCCGGCTGATTTCGGCGGCATTTACCCTAACGAACCTCTGTCAAGTAATTAAGCATTAATTTATATACTAAAGAGCAAAGAATCGGTGCCACTAGAGTCTGTTCTTTTTCATTTCTTGATAAAATGGTTTCTGATACAAACGTATTATTTATAAAAGGTAATTCAGTTACCTCTGAAATGAGAGCCAGAGAGAGAGAGACTGCCTCGTTGGCCCAGTGGTCGCAAATGTGACTACCGGGTAAGGGATCTCGGGTTCGATTCCCGGGTCGGGGAAACTATAACTGGGATTTTTTTTAAATCTCATTAGTAGCATGGAGTCTGGAAATGTGCCCGGCATAACATGGGACTCATAACATAAAAATAGGGAAAAGTGGGTGTTACATTTTACAGTGGCATTAAGTGCCGTAATGTGCACCTCTTCGGCCCCTTCGGGGATAAAAGGCGAGAAGTTATTAGTTGTTGTTGAAATGAGACAATTTTGTTGTAAAGGAATTTTTTTAAGTTAGTCGTTTTCATGAAACAAAAAAGTCCTTGTGGATTTATTGCTTTCCTCCTAAGTATTTAACTAATTAGCTTCAGAAAGATAATCTGATATCAATTTGTACATGTTTAGATACCACTACGGACGCTAACGACTATGGGTACCTTCTGCATCCATACACGAAGGATCTGAACGAGACGTACTATGTAGTATATGACTGGAGAGATGTTCTCAACGAGTTCGCCCAAAACGAATCAAAGATCATGATGACGGAAGCTTATACGGACATGGACCTGATGATGCGCTACTATGGGGAAGGATCCCGAGACGGATCTATACCATTCAACTTCATTTTCCTCGGGGAACTTAACGGACAGAGTACGGCGAATAACATGCAAACTGTTATTGAGAAGTGGATGTCCAATATGCCATCTGGAAAGATTGCTAACTGGGTGGTAAGTTATTGTATGTAACTCTTAAGACCTGAGGCTGTAGCCAAATGCCATTTAGCGCTTGTCTACGTGTAGAATAGAAAACCAAATTATATGTAACTAGCTTTTACCCGAGGTTTCGCTCGCGTCACAAAAGGATAAAAAGTAGCCTATGTGACATATACCAATACACACAGCGCCATCTATACCAATAATTTCGTTTTCCCTCGAGAATATCAATAAATGGAATAAAAAGGGATAAAAAGTACCCTATTATTTAATCCAGACTTCTAACTTCACGTCTGCAAAAAATCAAAGCAATCGGTTTAGAAGTTACGGCGTGAAAGTGGAACAAACAAACAAACAAACTCACTTTCCGATTTATAATATTAGTAAGGATTGACGTAAATTTTGACACTTGTCAGTGTCATCCCCATATATTTAGTTTTCTACTCTCTCTGTAGACAAGCGCTAAATAGCATTTGGCTACAGCTGCTGTTTCGCTACCTTCATAGTTTACGTACGCTATAAACACATGTAACCGATAGTTCATACAAATTATGTTCTTAATTCTTGATTAACATAGCGGTTATCAAGAGTTTGTTAAAGAGACTCTAAATAGAGATATTTTTCCAACTTTTTATTTCAGTATTACCTACGTACTTACTTGCCTATCAAAGCAATGTTTCTGTCTAGAAAGTAAATTTTAATATTTAGTATTTGTTCATAGTTTCTGTATTTAAAAACGTTGCCCCATACTAGAATTTTCTCATGTGTACAAGTTCAAATACACATGACAGCCAGACTTTGTGGATCACACAAAGAGTTGTTCCGTGCGGGAATCGAACTCGCTACACATTGTAAAACAGACGAGTAACGAATGGAGTTTCTTGCTCGTTCTTCTCCACTCGAATCGACATTTTGGAACGAGCGGCTAACTTCACTGACGGACAGACTGACAGGCTATTATTTATTTCATATTTGTTGACGTTTCAAAAGTACCAAATTATGGTTTTAATGAAATAAATGCTTTTGAGTTTTGGTTTTTTTTTGAGCAGTCAACGCTCTAGTTAGATTCTTCCAGCCCATAGTAATTTTTTGAATACTTCTATTATTATATCATTGTTCTAACTCTTAAAATTAATACTTTCAGTATTTAACACGTGAAATTGGAATACGAGGCAATATTGGACTGTATAATTAATCATGTTTCATTTGCAGAATGGTAACCACGACAACACACGAATGGCTTCAAAGCACGGCGTCAAGAGAGTGGATGCTATGAACATGCTGGCCCTCATTCTACCAGGAGTCACCATCACGTATCAGGTAAACCACTTATACACGTCTTCAACTAACAAATATAAACTTTATTCATCATCGTTATGTCATTACGATCCTCAAACTCCTAATCCCCAAAAGGCCGGTAACGCACTTGTAACGCCTCTGGTGTTCCAGGTGTCCATGGGCGACGCCGATTGCTTACCATCAGGTGATCCGTCTGCTGTTTATCGGCTTATGCCATAAAAAAACAAAAATCAGTTGGCGCTAATGAGCCATAAAATTTTCAAGGTTATATAAATTAATTTTTTGGTTGACAATGTGAAATGTTAGAATAGACTCACTGTTTTGTAATATATTTTTTGTTTGCAAAACATTGGTCAAGAAATCTCTTTCAATTGCTTTCCTATCATACACCATCAAAGCAAAACACTAAACGACTTGTTTTCCCCCTATTTTTTCTAATTTGTAGCTCGATATACTATCTCAAATTGGTGTACAATAAACATTATTATTCTATTCTATTCTTGTTCCAATATTAGGGCGAGGAGCTCGGAATGACAGATGGCAACATCAGTTGGGTGGACACGAAGGACCCGCAGGCGTGCAACACGGAGGACCCCATCAACTACTGGAAGAGCAGCCGCGACCCGGCGCGCACGCCCTTCCACTGGGACGCGTCCGCCAACGCGGGCTTCTCCACCGCCAACTCCACCTGGCTGCCCGTCGCCGCCAACTACGAGACTGTCAACGTCGCCGTCGAGAAGGCAGCCGCTAAGAGTCACTACAAGGCAAGTCACTCATGGCGGAATACTGAAACGCTACACAATTTAAGTCGTGCTTAAGTGTAGTTCTATCTCTACAAATTCTTTGTAAAATGACAGAGATGGCACGATATTTGAGCACGACTTAAAATTGAGTAATGTTTTAGTATTCGGGCATCAGTCTATAAATGAAACCTCTTCTATAAAATTCTTCTGTTACTAAGTGACTGAATGAATGATGCTTAATATGTATGTCTCAAAACTTTGACTCACGAAAGTATTGCCTTCTTAAATGTACGTGGTGGCCCGAAGATTTAAGACGGTCGCTTCTCATGAACCTACCAACGACAAGTACCAATGTGTCTTTTTCCGAGTTATATGTACTTTCTAAGATTATTCAGACACCACTGACAAATGGTAAGGGAAAATATCGCGAGGAAACCTAGGGTTATAATTTCTAATTACAAGTTTGTAATCGCCAACCCGCATTGAGCAGGCGTGGTGGTGAATGCTCAAACCTTCTCCGTGTGAGAAGAGGCTTTGTTCAGCAGTAAGCATTTATAGGCTGTTGACGATGATGATGATGATGAAATGTACGTACTTATTATGAGATATTGTCGTTCTACTATCTCTGCATACTCCGACGGGAGATAAGTGCGATGATATATGTAATGTAGGTATGTGTAGACTGCCTCGTTGGCCGACTAGTCGCAAGTGCGACTACCGGGCAAGGGGTCTCGGGTTCGATTCCCGGGTCGGTCGGGGCCGGGTCGTAAAAAAAAATCTCAGTAGTAGCACAGAGTCTGGAATTGTGCCCGTTATATGGCAATAGGCTCACCCCCTATTACATGGGACTAATAACATAAATAGTGAAATGTGGGTGTTACTTCTGTGTGCACCTCTGCCTACCCCTTCAGGGATAAAAGGCGTGATGCTATGTTTGTAGGTAGATGTCGATATTTTATGTACCTTGCTTGGCACTATAGAAATAATGTTGTAATTTAATCTACAGTTTTACAAGGATGTCATAGCCCTGAAACACACCCCGCGGTGGCCTCCGGCTCCTTGGGGACACATGCACTCTCCAGTGATGTGCTGGTCGTTACCAGGTACCTACTATTATCTAAAACTACAATAATATTATTTCATTACAATATTGCATCACTGCGAACTTCATGTCTTGCAACGTCACTTCCAACCAGGCAACCTAGAAATCATTAGAGAATGACTTGCTTGACAAATATGGAAAAGTTTAGAATCTAATACATGTCCAGTTTTGGTGCTTTTTTGGGTGCCCGGTCCTGTATATTTGTTTATGGAATAAACCGGTAAACGAGTACGGATCACCTGATGGTAAGCAATCGGCGTTGCCCATGGACATCCGAATTTGAGGGATTCAGGGATTGGGAAGATGGATAATTGGACCTCCGGTAACCTCACTCACACAACGTAAGCGTTGTTTCACGTCGATTCTCTGTGAGGTCGTGGTTCATTGCGGTTCAGCTGGCCTATTCGTGCGGAAGTATGGCTCTCCCACACTTAAATATGCTCTAAATCAACTATTTTGTTCTAAATAGAGTCCCAACGAGTACAAGTGACGCTACGGTCGTGGCAGTATTGAACCTGGCGTCTACTTCCACCACCCTGGACCTGACCTCTGTAGCCGGAGTGCCACAGACTTTGCGCGTCGTTGCGTCAGGTGTCGACTGCGCACTCAATAAAGAGTAAGTTTGCACATTTCATTAGTAAAATAATGGTATAAAATTACAATTTGAATTGGACTGCATAGTTGTGCAGAACACAACGCGTTAAATCATCTGCTCTAGTCAGGAAAACGATAGAAAGAAACTATTAGTTTAACACATTTAAAAGAGATTAGAGATTTTTCACTTGTATTTCATAATGTTGAACCGAATAACATGTCTAACTGATAAAATACGGTAGGTGACAACTAGTCAAATTCAATACGTCAAAAACTATACGGAGTGTCAAGCACGAATAACTATCGCATTCGTAACGTAATAGTATCGAGCGCGTTCGGCGTTTTGATTGGCCGGCTCAAGTGAAGCAACCAATCAGAACGCTCTGGTCTATAAATTTTGTACGAAACACCATCTTATGACGTCATCATACTTTCGCGTCAAATAGCACACTTATATCTAAAAAAATGCTAGAATAAATCGAAAATTAAGTATATCGGCAAATCAATGAATGAAAGTGAGTGAAAGTTTCATCATCATCATCATCATCAACAGCCGGAAGACGTCCACTGCTGGACAAAGGCCTCCCCCTTAGCCCTCCTCCAATGAAAGTTTATCAATATTTATTTGGACTGAACAATTAAAATTATTTATTTTTGACCCAGGAAACTACTCAATTAGCTGATTACATTACCTTATGCTATTATTATACCTAAATGCGAAAGCTTATGAGCTATGTGTTTATTAGTATGTTTATGTTTGTTACCACCTCAACACGGCTAAAAGGATCTGGATGAAATTTGGAGGGAGATTGTGGACTGGAATAACAAATAAGCTACCTTTTCCCTCGACTGCCCCGGGCAAAGGGTCTCGGGTTCGATTCCCGGGTCGAGCAAAATATTACTGTGTTTTAAAAAATCCTCAGTAGTACCACGGAGTCTGGAATTGTGCCCGGTATATGGCAAAAGGCTCACCCCCTATTACATGGGATGACACCTCATAACATAAATAGAAAAGTGGGTGTTACATTGTACAGTGGTATTATGTAACTAAAAGTGCTCTGCCTACTCTTCGGGGATAAAAAGCGTGATGTTATGCTACTTTTTCCCATGGTAACGCGGGTGAAGCCGTCGGCAGAAGCTAATGACATAATAAACTTTTTACAGGGCACAAGTACAGAGAAATAGTGTTACTATATCTGGTAACTGCGCTATGGTACTAAGCAGCGGCGCTACAAGATTCACTATCCCATTAATGTTGTACAGCATTGTATTAGTAATTCTATACCTACAGTAATGAAATAATTCACTCCTTTAAGCCTTTTCGTGTATTTTTCTTTGTGAACCAGAGTCTAGTACGAACCACCTTGATACAGAATTAGAAAGGAAATGACATAAGAATTTCTCTAAAACAGTCTTAGCAAGACATGTATATTTATTGTCGTGCACTAGACAAGAGGCAGCCATTGTTGAAGGTATTTGTTTCCACTTAGTTACCCTTTTCAAGCCAATAGATCAATGGTTTTTTTTTACAACCTACCATTTTACCTCCTTTAACAATGGCATGATTTTATAGTGTACATTTCATTTCCATCTAAACGACATTAATGTGTATCTGGGAATATCTTGCATATGTATGGATTAAATTATATTATTGATATAAGTATTGTAAATAGAGAATGTAATAATTTTGGTTATTAATTTAATTTTACTTTTGTTATCATTATAAATAAATTTTTAGTGGTTGTCATTTCGTGTTTTTACTTCTTTTCTTCTGGCAAGGTATTATTTCGTTTAAACGAAGATTTGAAGAGTACACAGACTATTTCTTAGAGACATAGGACGGCTTGAAAAGTGATGGAGCATGAAAAGAGGACGTAAGAGACATTCTCTCAACCTCGACTTAGCTCAATAGTATGACAATCATCATCAACAGCCTATAAATGCCTACTGCTGAGCAAAGCCTCTTCTCGCACGGAGAAGGTTTGAGCATTAATCAGTATGTATAATTATATAAATATAATTATAAACTATAATTATAACTATGTTAAAATTACAATACATAGTTCAATTGTTATTGTTAAACAGTACGATGACGGCAATGTAGAATATACAACAGTATTCTTACCACCGAGTGTCATCATAAAAACCAATTAAAACTGGATACTCGAAAAACTCGTATGTAGAGGAAGCCTGTGATATAACTGGTGACTCTCATGAGCTGTTGATGAAGTCAAAGATAGTTGCTTGAAAGCTAATTGTCGTCATATTAAAATCTAGGAGTCCGAAGTCCAAAAATCCATCTGTAGCTCCATTTTTCACTTCATCTGTTATTTATTTATTTTACACATTATTGTACAGTACACCATTATAACATAAGAAAAATTGTAAAATAAAATGTGTACAATGGGCGGTCTTATTGCAGAATGCGATTTCTTACAGACAAGCTTTGAATACACATCAACAGCCTATAAATGCCCACTGCTGAGCAAAGCCTTTCACACGGAGAAGGTTTGAGCATTAAGCATAACGCATGCTCAATGCGGGTTGACGATTTCAAACTTATAATTAGAAATTATAAACCCAGGTTTCCTCGCGATATTTTCCTTCATCGTTTGTCAGCGGTGACTAAATAATCTAAGTAAGTACATGTAACTCAGAAAAAGTCACACTGGTACTTGCCGTTGCTAGGTTTCACACCCGCACCCTCATGATGGGAAGCAGGCGTCTTGAACGCCCGGGCCACCACGACATCAATGGCTTTGAATAGAGCCAGTATTCAGAAATTGGGAAAAAAGGGGTTGTCCAGTGTAAAATAATCATACCTAATACATACATAATTATATTACCTACAAATACCAAATAAATCATACACTAGATAAATATACCCACTCTACATATATATGTTTCCATGCTAAAAATATATAAATGCTAGCTTAAAAATAATAACTAAAGAGAGATAATTTTTTGAACTGAGGTAATCACTTAATTTTGCCATTGTAAGACCCATAGGAGATATTTCATTTACATATACCCAAAACCTCATTGATTAAACTAGCTGATTACAAATGACATAATAAACTTTTTACAGGGTACAAGTACAAAGAAACAGTCTAACTGTGTCTGGCAACTGCGCTATGGTACTACAGACCGGTTCAGATTCTGGTGGCAACGGGAATGGTACAGTCCCTGGCGGTAACAACGGCACAGACTCTGGCAATGGAACCACCCCCACCCCCTCCCCCGGTGGCAGTGCCCCTACATTCACGATCCCATTGATGCTGTACAGCATTATAACATTGCTCCTATTCCTACAGTAATTTTAAAATTCAATCATGTAGTCTTTTCATACGTTTTTCTAGTGAAGTTTTATAGTTTTTTGTTAATATTGAGATTGTAACTGAAGTCTAGTATCATGTCAAGTCAACTATCAAGATTGTAAAATACACCTTTCAAATCCCGATTTGAAAGGTGTATTTTACAGTCTTGTCGTATTTATGTTTTTCAATGAAAATAGATCAATTCTTTACTTAAAAACACCTCCATTTGTAATGACAGGATGTTATAGAATTTGCAACTGAAACAGGGTGTTATTTTGAATATTTTGTATTATCTTTCAAAATAACACATTTTATAGCATTTCCATCTAAATGACATCAATGTGTATGTGGGAATATCTTGTATAAGTATAGATTAAATTATTAATATGTTGTAAATAGAGAATAACATTAGTAGTAACTTGTAGATCCCCACTTCACATAGACTTGTCCATATAATTGTTTGTAATGAATTTAATTTATACTTTTGTTATTATTTATAAATAAATTTCTTGTGGTTGTCATTTTGGGTTTTTACTCTTCTTTTTATGGAATAGGAGGCAAATGAGCAGACGGATCACATGATGGTAAGCGAGTAAGAGTTAAATGTTACGAGTTACTTTCTTATGACAAGTTTTTGTCAAGTTTGTTAATTAATTTTGAAGAGTACAAACACATAGTACTTGAAGCAAAGACGGATAAAAAGGTGGCCATAATGTCACAAATTATTAAAGCACCAAAACATCTGTAGTTTATTTGTGAGTGTGTGAATCTTGTAATGTATGAAGTGAAATGATGGGCCATGCCATGAGATAGATGTCCTTCATGTCACTGTATATGTGTTTAGCATGTAAATCTATAGTAGCCAGGTGCCAGTTGTTGGTTCAAGAGACTTTGTTCGCCTTGTTTTTTAACATTCTTGACTTGAAGAGTAATGGCGTATGGAAAAAGAAAATTACCTATTACCTATTTAGGTATTGCAAAAATGAGTACCTAATAGATTCCCTTTACATAAGTATTGTTTAAGAAAAGTATATAGGTTAACTGCTGATACCGTAGGGAGGTATGAACTCTATTACCCATCAACCTTTGAGTACAATGCTTATAAAACTAAAACACAATTTCACTTACACATTAGTTTATAATAATTACATCAGAATTTGCAAGAATATTACACAATTCTTACATAGGTGACACTTGAATACAATTCACTAAAAGTCCATCGCACCTTCTAAGAAACAGAGGCAGTCCACTTTGTTGATGACTAGGTCTAAATCTTTTTTGCTATGATTTTTCTTTTATTTGTAGCAGTGTATGCATACGTTTCTTTTGCTATAGTTTCCAAAAACAGCTCCTGGAAAATGTACATTACTATGATACATATTTTGAGATTACTATGGAAAAAGTAACTTTAAATCATTATTATAATAGAGGTAAGAAAAGAATATGTTGAAGAGGTGGAAGAATAGACAAATTAACAGATCTTTTAACAACTATTTTGCAAAAGGATAAAAGACAGTGTAAAAAAAAGATATGGATGTACTTCGTCATCACCATTGAAAGTATTTAAACTTACGGTGGCTTTAGTGACTAGAAACACGGCATCCCCTGATACAACGCTAACATCAGGATCCATTTTCATGATATTCTTGATTCTAGCTATTGGTAGCCTAGTGGAACGAATAACCTCACTCTTGTTTTGTGGTGGAGGCTTTTTACTGTCTGTAGTTTGCTCCTCAGAACTTAGTAAATCTGAATCCTGTATCGTGTTTATATGTTCGGAGTCTGTTGCTTCCAACTCGGCGTGTTGGTGGTCAGCCTCGAGATAATGGTCGGACTCGTCAATTAAATCCGATATATCCACGTCGTCATAATGATCTTCATCTGCCATTTCTGTTTTTTTTTAATAAAATATAACACTAAAATAATACAACACTTTGTTTAGTGAATTTGGCGCGGTGTTTTGGTCGGTCAGTTTATTGTTTTAAGTGACAGTGACATAAAACTGCTGAGTGCTAACTGATTGACAATGAAGTTCAGATGTTGTGTTGTCAGTGTCAAAATTGACATAAATGTTGCGTTCAGATATTCAAAACAGACATAGGTAGCAAAACGTATTATTGCATCGTAAATGGAAGTAAACGAGTACAAATAAAATCTAATGAAAACAGAAAAATTAGACGTCAGTTTTATATTTTAAATATCATCAGCACGCCTTTATCCCGCAAAGGGCTACAGATTACAGCAGAGGTGCACAATACAGCACTTAATGCAATACAATATATCACCTACTTTCGTTTTATGTGATAAGACCCATGTAGGGGTGAACCTGTTGCCATATACTGCGTAATTTTTAAAGAGCCCAGCAATACTTTGTTCGAATTATACGACGTGAGAATTATATTTAATACAGCCATATCCGACAGTGAATAAATTATAGCACCACATTAAATAACATTCCTAATATAAAGTAATTAAAAATTGAGGGATATAAGTTCCTCACTCAACACCACCCTCTACGACTTATCAATATTTCAAATACCAACTGCAGCCGATCATTAATTCCGCTTCAACCTAATTATAGGCTGAACAATAACGAATGGTAATCAAAACTTTGACCGCATCACAATGCATTAATCGTAATTCAATACCTTGGGCACCTGCATTGATGGTTTGATAAAAATATTTACTTTATAGTTCACATTGTACTTATCTATAATAACAGTGTGATTTATTCACAAAACATTTGCATGCGAAGAGTTATAAGCAATTGACATTGTCTCTACAAGGGATTATTCGCGACGTGACCGTGGCTGCAGGTGGGTGAGAGCTTAATTTTTTTTTATATGTGTTTTCATTGCCCTACTTGTTTTTGGTTCCGGGGTAAAGATAGGAGGTGTTTATAATAGGTACCTACTTAATAACAAATCGTTGGTAAGTAAACAATTAATGAAGCAGAAAGTTTCCTTTGGGGCGCGCAACGTAAGTCTAAATAGTTACTTTCTAAGCTTTTTTAACGGCTGAACTTTACTTGTCTTTTATTTAGTATAGTTCTATGATTTTATTCTTAGAAATACGCAGAAACTAGGTACTCTTAACATCTTATCTGTAAATTTCTTGTAAATCGCCAAATATTCACAGGATTTAGAGCCAAAATGCGAGAGATATTGTTACTAGTAATAGCAACGGTCGCTGTAGTTTCTGGGGTGGATGAGTGGTGGCACTCGGCTGTCATTTATCAGATATACCCGCGGTCCTTCAAGGATAGCAATGGAGACGGGGTCGGAGACATAAACGGTGAGTGATTATCATTTATTCTCCGAACTAAAGTTGTATTTAGTACATATTGAGTGCATGGTCAACACTATAGCTGGATGACCAGCTGTTACACAAAGTGTCGCGTCATAATGTTTTTAACACACAAAAAAAGAAATGTGTGTAAAGTCATATTCAATGTATCTGCTAGGATGTTAAAAAAAGCGGACATAATGTCGCTAAGAAATGATTGAAGCACCTAAATGTCAGTGAGTTATTTATTTGTGCTAAACTTAAAAAAAATACTGATGTCCCTGTGTCAATGTGTGTATGTTCTGCGTGTAAAGGCGGCCACACACGCTAGGGTTTGCATAAACCGAGCAAATATAACCGAGCACCGATAACTGTACAGTTTAATCACATACACGCTAAGGCTTGTCTGTCGGTTATGCATGCACGGCTATAACCATCATGCAAAACCTAGCGTGTATGGCCTCCTTAAACTGTCAAACACCGCGAGGACACCGCAACCTATAGTTCTTTAATTGTGTCTATAATGACGGCACTCAAAGAGTTAACTCTATTAGTATCCAGGTGCCACAGTCGTTATTGTAGGAGACTGTGTTCGACTTTTTTATACGTTCTTATGGCTACTGCACATTTAGCGCTCTCGAATACACCTGCACCATTTAAGCTGCGACATCCAACTGGTCTGCCAAACATCAAGAGTATGGAATACCCTCTAAATGTAGAGAATGACCATAGTCCAGCGGGCAGTCATAGGCTTTAGATTTTCATTCTTGTTCACAGGAATTACATCAAAGTTACCATACCTGAAGGACATTGGAGTGGATGCGATATGGCTATCCCCAATATTCCTATCCCCAATGTTAGACTTCGGATACGACATCACAGACTACAAAAAAATTGCGCCGGAGTATGGCACTATGGAAGATTTCAATAGACTAATGGCAGAGGCTAAAAAACTGGGTAAGTAATTGGGTAGTTTCCAGGGTAACAAAATTAAAAATCTAATTAGGCCGTCAGTTAGATAATGTAAAAATATTTTCTCGTATTAAGTTGCATTACTTATATAAAATGGCGCTAAGTTTAGAAGTGGGAGGTCGTTACGTCATAACGTGCTACAAAATGTGGCACGCTGTGACGTCACACGATATTTCAAATTAATATATCGTCGAAAGTATTTAATTTTGTGAGAAAAGAAAAAATACGTCTCTAAAGTTTTAAATTAATTTACAAAATAAAATTTAGGAAACTACCCTATTGTCTAGTCGCTTCCAACCAGCCGAGCTATAAGAACGTCATAAGTCTACGTGTAACACGTGTTGTGGCTAGAGTTAAAGCTAGAAAGGTAATTCTCGGCGGTAAGATTCGGAGCACTAAAAAGAGCTCAACGGCACTCGCTGAGCTAATTTATGTTCTTGTACAGTTGATGATGAATGATGCCCAAAAGTTCACTACAACATAACATCACTTCTTTTATCCCCGAAGGGGTAGACAGAGGTGCACATTACGGCACTTATGCCACTGCACAATGTAACATCCACTTTTCACTATATATGTTATGAGTCCCATGTAATAGAGGGTGAGTCGATTGCCATATACCGGGCACATTTTCAGACTCCGTGCTACTGAAAAACCCGGTAATACTTTGCCCGGCCCGGGAATCAAACCCGAGGCCCCTTGCACTCGGCTAATGAGGCAGTCACTACCCTAGCCTTAAATAATCTTTGATCGTCTCTTGGGTCATAAATATTGTTCGATTATATACTTTTTGCATATTAAGTATCCACGCACTTATAAACTACTTACAAACACATTGTTTCCCTGGTTTTACAAGGCAAAGAAGGTAATCTGAACATGATAATTATGTGTGATACGATCTCAGCGACAATCGGACAGATAATGGCGACTTCCGCCGTTTGTGAACCGCAACTGTTAGTAAACGTTTATACGAATTGGAAGACATTAGACAAGCGACGGAACGATTTATTTAACGATGTTAAACAGATGAATAGTTTGCTGTTGTAATTTTACGTATAAACGCTTAATTTCTGTAATCAAATTCATCATCATCATCATTTATCCCCGAAGAAGTAGGCAGAGGTGTAGATTACGGCACTTAATGCCACTGTACAATGTAGCACTCACTTTTCACTATATTGCCATATACCGAGCACAGTTCCAGACTCCGTGCTACTACTGAGATTAAAAAAAAACCCCGTATTACTTTGCCCGACCCGGCAATCGAAACGGAGAGCCTTTGTCCGGCAGTCGCACTTACGACCACTCGACCATTGAGGCAGTCAAATTCAGGGTCATTGGAAAAGAAACAAAGGAGAATCAGAAATTGTATGAGTAGATCATCTCCTATAACCTACAAACGTGTACATTTCTTTTACCATGTCACATTGTTTATGGATAATGGCAGTATTCCATTGACAACCTTTAAAAGTAGAACTAAGATTAGTAATGTTCTTATTATTTTCGAGTCTCGATAAAATTCATTCGTGTTTATGACATAACTGTTGCAAGAACAATGCTGAAATATTGTAAACTCGAACCAAACAACCCTATAAATGTCTCATCCTCAGTATACGCAACAGGACTAATTACCTATATGTGTTTCAAGGTTTCTGAGAATTTTTCGCATACATTACATAACTTCACGCCTGTCTCCCATGGGAGTAGGCAGATACTATGGAACGCCAATTGCTACAATTCCTACATACCTCTTTCGCTTCATCAAAAGTCATCAATCTTTTCATGTGTGCTCTTTAATTTGGCCATCTTTAATATATCGCCAATCTGTTCAGAACAAGTCCGTCTAGGACGCTCTCTACCGACGGCCCCATTCATATCCGCTCTGTATACTTCTTTCGTTACTCTACTATATACGTTATGATATTTTACTACGAGTATTTTATTACGTCCTTAAAGGTGAACTCTATCGTTAGTCGCATCATCGCTGACTACTTACTACTAGGCGAGTTTGTGAAAGGTAAAACTTACTTATCTTCTTTGACTTTAGGACTCCGAGTGGTATTAGACTACGTGATAAACCACACGAGTAACGACAGCGACTGGTTCATCAAATCTACGCAAAGAGACACCAATTACGCAGACTATTACATTTGGGCCCATGGCAAACCGGACCCGAAGAATCCTGACTATTTAGGACCTCCCAACAACTGGGTGAGTAATGGTAGTTCCATAAAATGCGCTGTTGAAGTCTGTTGTGGATCCATATAACTTTAACTATTGTAGAAATGTACGGAATATTTTCCTGCGTTTAAGGCATGGTTATAAATACCGCTTTGGCGTCTACACTACAAGTTCTACACCCAGATCCGAAACCACTAATTTGTAAACCACCCCACCCATTGAATGACTCCTACACACACGATGTATAGCATTTGGTGACACAGCAACCAGTATCAACCGTGCAAGTGTTACTTACTAGTTTGGCGTAGTGCGCCGTGTAATTTATAGGCAGACTTTTAAATAAAACTCGTGAAGTTCAATGGCAAAACTTATAATCGACTTCTCTCTGTTAAAAAGTGTAACGGCATAAAATGTCACCAAGTGAATCCTAAAACCATAGACGGTCAATGGCGACCATAAACAATATCAATATTCTCGTCTTAATATATTATAAGTGGGTCCCATACATATCTCTGATACTGGGACGCCACACTAGTATTAGTACTTTAATTCTTCATTTTCCAAACTCCAAAGCTATTGAGCCTCAAAAACTATTCTAATTGTATTCAGGTGAGCGTTTTCCGCAAGAGTGCTTGGGAGTACAACGTCCAGCGAGGTCAGTATTACTTGCACCAGTTCGCCGTTGGGCAGCCCGACCTTAACTTCCGCAATGCAAAGGTGGTCGAAGAAATGAAGGTAGGTAACAATTTACGAATTTTAAGTGTGGGAGAGCCATGCTTTGTCACGAATGGCCGGCTCGACCGAAGTGATACCACGGCCTCACAGAAAACCGACGTAAAACAACGCTTACGTTGTGTTTCGTCGTGTGAGTAAGGTTACCGGAGACCCAATTACCCCTAGTGTCCCGAATCCCCGAATCCTTCACAATCCTCAAATTCCAATTCCCAAAAGGCCGGTAACGCACTTGTTACGCCTTGGTGTTTCGGGTGTCCATGGGCGGCGCCGATTGCTTACCATCAGGTGATCCATCTGCTCGTTTACCGACTTATGCTATTAAAAAATCCTCGTAGGTATCTTAACCTTTAGAGTACCACGTCAGTAACCTGTGCTCAGGCAAAGGGACTGGTTAGCGTCAGCGCTAGTCGAGATTTGACTTCCACCATTTTAAACTTAGCAGTTAAAGTATTAAGCAATGAGACATCTCCCATCCATGGGTTCAATGTTAAAACTTCTAACACCAAACATTTAAGTCAGTGTGTCATTGATCCCATGGTGATGATGATGATGATGGTATGCAGCCACCGTAACTTGTAACCAATGAACGTCTACAAACTATAGCACCGAGAATGTCGCCGATACGTGGTTGGTAGGTATTATTTAAGAAATGAAGTCAATTTTTTATTCAGGACGTTCTTCGTTTCTGGCTGGATAAAGGAGTTTCTGGCATCCGTATTGATGCTGTCAATCATTTATATGAAGTGGACCCGGCGAACTATGATGGGCATTACCCTGATGAGCCACTTTCAGGTCAGTAGGTACATTTTTACAGTTTAAAAGTAATGAGGAAAATGACAAATTATCGTTTTTAAGTTCTTAAATAACGTTTGCTAAATGAGAAGGGAAATTACTGTTCTTACCAACCACCTAGTACTTCAAAATGAAAATTGGCTGATGTAGCAAACCTGAGTTTTTATAAGGAATCATGACAATTTCCTTCTTATATTCTTCTTCTCAGGCGCCTGGAGCTACTCCAGAAGACTATAATTACTTGAACCACATCTATACGAAGGACCAGAATGAAACTTATAACATCGTTTACGATTTGAAAGTCGTTCTTGACCAGTATACTGAAAAGCAGAATGATTCCAAAATCATACTAACCGAAGCCTATGCGGATTTGCCCAAAATCATGCGCTACTATGGCGACAAGAACCACAATGGTTCAATTCCTTTCAATTTCTTCTATCTTACTGAACTGAACAATAAGTCAAACGCAAGAGACATGAAGATGACCATTGATAAGTGGATGACACATATGCCTACTGGGAAGGTGGCTAACTGGGTGGTATGTATAGACTTTGTTTCACGTACCAAAAGCAGAAGTAAGGCTCTTTAGTTTCCTTGAGTAATAAAAAGAAACAAACGTATAAATGAACATTGTTAATAGCTAAGTTTACCTAAAAAAACATTTCAGACTAACTTTGTTTTACAGAATGGCAATCACGATCAAAGTCGACTGGCTTCAAAATTCGGTATCGACAGGGTTGATGTTATGAACATGCTGGCTCTCGTCCTGCCAGGAATCACCATTACGTATCAGGTGCTGGTTCAAATATGTATAGGAGTGTTTCTTCAAAAAGCTTTAACATATTTATTAAACAAATCACCATCCTCTCAGAGGGCTTCGTACGAGTACGCGTTCGTCGCTCTCATTGGCCGGCTCCAATGAATCAACCAATCAGGTCGAACGCGGTCTCGTTTCGATTACTTTGATTGTGAAACAAACTACGTACTAAGGCCTCAAGTTGTTATCCAATTCAATGTAAACTTGCAGGGTGAAGAAATCGGAATGACAGATGGTCATGTGAGCTGGAAAGATACTAAAGATACTCAGGCTTGCAACACGGAAGACCCCATTAACTACTGGAAGAGTAGTCGCGATCCCGCGCGCACTCCTTTCCACTGGGACGCGTCCGCCAACGCGGGCTTCTCCACCGCCAGTACCACCTGGCTGCCCGTGGCTGACAACTACCAGACTGTCAACGTCGCCGTTGAGAAGGCAGCAGCTAAGAGTCACTACAAGGTCAGCAGTTATCTATAATTCGTCTTCCTGCCTTCATGAATAGATTTGACAAGCAGTGCAGAATGAAAGCCTCCTATTTGGGGAAGATTTTGTTCAACTATAGACAGGTTCCGGTTCATGATAATGATTAATGCACTCAGTATTCAATCCTGGGCCTTACAGACATAGGGCTCCTAACGTACTCACAATGTGTCTCAAATCCTCTACATTTCTAGTTCTACAAAGAACTGGTTGCTGTCAAGCGTTTGCCTGCCGTCCGCTCTGGGGACCTAGAAGTACGTGCAATCTGTGAAAATGTTCTGACTGTTGCTCGGTGAGTATAAAACAACACACTGTTCCTAGATTAGGAGCTGAAATTGATAAGAGGTTACGCACCTAATTGCTAAAAACTCGACGTCTTTTTAAATATCGCATCCCCATTCTTAGTTTGGGAAGTAAGGACAAAATTTCGCAGTCTTCATTAAATTAAAAAAATCGGGACAGAAGCCATTTTCTCATATGGTATCTATTTGCTTGAACGAGCATGACCGTTAAACCTAAGTCTTGGTGGGATACTTAAGCCTTCGTACTCGTAAGTTCCTTGATGGTTCATCAAGGTAGTCACTAAATCGTACTTGTATATTGTCAGATTCCTGCCAGGTCACCCCGTAGTAGTGGGTGTCATCAATCTGTATGACGCTGAGATCCCGGTGGATCTCAGCGCTCTACACTTGCTGCCTCGTGACCTACAGGTGGAAGCTTCCGGAACCTACTGTAAATTGGAGAAAGGGTAAGATGACGTCACGTCACGTCACCTATTTTTTAATGTTTTTTTAGGTTGAACTTTAACTATGATATTTAACGGCAATTCTTTGGCATCGGGAATTGGGGTTTCAATAGAGTAGGTAACTGGTCAGATGACATACAGAGCAAGAATAAATCCTACATCTTAAATACTAGGATGCTTTTTTATTTCAGTCTGTCTGTTTTAGTCCACCCCAGTGTTTCGTAGAAATTGAAACTGGACCATTCCGGATTCCCTTCAATCCGTCAAACTTTTCTGAATTAAAACTCTTTTTCTCTGTGATGGTATTAATTTTTACATTTTTTATTGTTTCAGAGACAAAATTCAGAAAGGTAGGGTAACAATGTCTCCACACTGCGCCCTGGTCCTGTCATCATCACAGAATTGCTGTTCAGCACCCAAATGAATATCACGCCCCATGAAGTATGCGAAGTCTAAACATCACAAACGAATATATCTGTATAAAAAGAAGTTACTTACAATTCCCTGCATTACGTAATATGTATTTACCTTATCAAAAATATACGCTGTGATTTGATATAAGCGTTGTTTTTTATTTAGTCTGTTCATAACCTGGTTGATTCCTAGGCTAATAACGTAAAGCCAAAATATAACTCGATTATCGAACCTACCTAGGACATATTATTCTATAGACAAATTTCAGGCAGATGGAGATGGGAATGACTTAGGCTGAAATGGGCCCCATTTTCTACTTACAAAATTCTCCGAACATAACGGATATCAGAGTATGAATGTTGATAGTAAAAAAATATCTCAAAAACTAGAGATAGGTACTTTGATAGTTTATTATAATAGATGGATGTATTTACCTCGTTGCCCTTTGATTTTTACGATACGTAGTGAGTTTAGTCTCAGAAACGCTGCGGTTTAGAGAAAAATAATGAAAATATTGTAAACCAAGATTAATGGTGTGGTTAGAATTTTAGAAATAAAAACAAAAATTTTAATTATAATAAAATATTATTATATTCAGTTCGTGTTGAGTATCAAAACAACATTAATTAAAATAATTATCCAATATATACACTTATAACACTTAAAATTACATTTTTTTATGATTACTGTACAACAATATAAAGTTAGAACTCCTTTCATGCATGGCTGAGATATTTAATTTTCATGTTTCTGACTCTTTCTTCCACTTGTAATTTGATAGTGTGTGACAGAGATAAATTATCGTTTATGATCATAAATTAAGAGTCTCCAAAAACGCTAAGGGCGCCATCTATGGAAAGCTAAATTGGAGAACCCGTAACAGAAGTATAATATACTTCTAATTATGACTTCTATCATTTGATACATATTGTAAATCTCAGCCATGCCATTATAGGCCATTTTTTACGCCTTTGATCGTGATCATAGCGATTGGTTTTATCGTCAAATTGAGAATATTTCTGTCACAAATCATTAAGTTTAGTTAAAACTTAGAACTTCGTTTAACTCGTCGAGTACCGGTTTTATAGACACAATTAAAGAACAATAGGTCGCGGTCACCGGTGACCGCTTGGTGTTTGACAGATTAAACCAAGTGCAATATCTACGAAAATGTACAGAAGGATTCCAATCTGTCTTTGCAATGGATTTCTAACTTTATTACAAAACAATAAAGTATTCTTTTAAGAAATCTGACAGATTGGATAACTTTATGTGCTGATGGGTGGACAGATATTTTGAGTAATTATAGTATTGTGTATGTGTATATTGATAACCGCCAAACTACAAGTTTCACAGTTGTCAACATTATTAAGTCGTGTTTATAATATACTAGTGGATAAAAAGTGTCCCATGTGTTATTGCAGACTTTAATCTATCTCTGTACCAAATTTCGTTCAAATCTATTTATTATTTTTGCGTGCAAGAGTAACATTTGCTAAAACTTTTACATTTATAATATTAGTAAGATCTTAACGTATTAGGATAGGCAAAAACTATGGTAATAAAGGTAGTTTTGTCTGGTTCAAACGACGCACTAAGTTTAGTACAAATTTTAATTATTATGACTCAGAATCGCTTATCAGGTAGACCTTCTTTTAAAATTCATAATTTCAAGTCATTTTCAACTTTATTCCCTTGGTAATAAGTATTACATACTATCAGATGTTCCCATTCCAAGTGTGTGACACTATAATGCATGTGATTACAAAAATATCTTTCGAGTATAAGGAATGTAGAAACAAAAAATAATATTTTGCAACCAGATTAACAAAATATAGGTAGATAACAGTTATTTGATGAAACTACTTTAGAATTGAATAGTTCCTATAAGTAATAAAAGATCCAAATTGCGGAAATAACTTGACAAAAAGTAAGTCACATTAGATTCTCTTGGATTTAATTATTCTTACAGAATTTAAATATAGGCGCCTGGCACTTTCTTAATAGCAACAAACTTCGATGTGCGAATGCTAATACATTTCTAAAGGCACTCCGAACAGGAACACAAGTCGAAAAAATAGTAAAGCTTAAAATTTTTCTTTCGCAGTGAAAATTTCTAACAGTGATAACACAGACAGAACATTTAAAGCTTGCTAGTATCCAATAAATGATTTTTAATTATCTATCTACAAAAGACAACGAAGTTTTAAACTGGTCCGTCACTTTTTCCAACAATTTCTATACAGTACAACTGTACACAACAATTTCCAAATAGGCATTCACAAAATAGTCCATTTTTATCTAAAATATTTTAACTTAAACAGAATAGTTTCTTCCAAAAAGGTTTTTTGCCGTGTCTTATTGGCAGGCCTGCCAAAATGGCGGCATCGAAAGCGTCTTTCAACTGTTTTCTTGTTTTAGCTGATGTTTCTATGTAGACTGCGTCGATCTTAGCTGCTAATGCCTTCGCCTCGAGTTCTGTAACCACGTGCTCGCCTCGACTCTGAAATATTAAAATTATTCTGTTTAATTAGATGTTCTTAGGCATTAATGTCGGAATACTTAATTTTAAGTCGCGCTTAAGTATAGTTCTGTCTCTACAAATTCTGTGTAAAATGACAGAGATGGCACGATATTTAAGCACGACTTAAAATTGAGTAACGTTTCAGTATTCGACATGAGACATAAAATAGCGGAACATAAAACTACATAACATAACAGACCGTTTTTTATTCTCCAAAGGGTTAGCGATAAGCGCAACCGCCAAGAGTTTGACGTTACCGGAGGCCAAATTACCCTCCCTTTCCCCAATCTCCCCAATCCCTGAATCCTCAACGATCCTCAAACTCCTAATCCACAAAAGGCCGGTAACGCACTTGTAACGCCTCTAGTGTTCCGGGTGTCTATGGGCGACGCCGATTGCTTACCATCAGGTGATCCGTCAGCTCGTTTACCGGCTTATGCCACAAAAAAAAACAGAGATATTGGGTTTTTCGAAATGTTCAGAGATATCACATCTTCATCACACTTATACTTTGTCTAACTCGAGAACCCATCCAGCAAAGGTTTTACTATACAGTCGCTCTTATAACGTTAGACCAAATCATTTTGTCCATGTTTTTACTTATATCGCGCCTTTTATCCCCAAAGGGATAGGCGGAGGTGAACTGAACATTAGGGCACTTAATGAGGCTGCATAATGTAACACCCGCTTTTCACTATTTATGTTATTAGTCCCATGTAATATATGTCCCATGTGATTAGTATTAGTCCCATGTGAGCGTTTTGTTATATACCGGCCACAATTTCAGACTCCGTGTTACTACTGAGAATTTTTGAATGACCCAGTACTTCTTTGCCGTCCTGGGAATCGAACCCAAGACCTCTTGCCTGGCAATCGCACTTGAATCGCAATCGACCACTCGGCCAACGAGGCAGTTATATACTAAATTAAAAAAAAATTTACCCTTAAAGTCTGTAGAACTCTAGGATCTTGCGCGAGGTCACTCTGTGTGCCTACAAGAATGAGCGGCGCGTTCACATTGGCCACAGCTTTGGTCCACCTCTCGGCGACAGACCTGAAGGTCTCCGGCCTCACCACGGAGAAGCACAGCATCAGCACATCAGTTCCAGGGTAACAGAGCTCCCGGAGCTCGGACATTGAGTCCTGGAATGGAGAAAATAATCACCTTTAATTTATTGACTACGTACCGCCAAAAAACTGTTCAAGGCAAAACCTCCTCTAATAAATGGTGCTTGAAGAGTTAATCCAATTATCTGGATATGAATTCCATACAACTAATGACTTTGGATTGACTCCGGTTATTTATTTCGGCAGTTATGAGTTTAAATAGTGAACATTGCTTTGATATATACGATTGTGTCACTATCATAAACAACTACATAACGATGATCATTGTTGAGGGTGACCCTGTGGCTATCCTCAACACCTGTTTGGAGGCACCAGGTCTAAAAGAGACCTGCTCGGGAGCCCCCACGGTGCAATACCTGCTGTTACAACATATCCCCAGGAAACAATTACATGTAGGTACACACTAGAGACAGAAGTCAAAAATGACGTAATAATTACTTTTAGATAGTCAGTGATGTTGTCAGATGAAGAACAAGGCTGCGTAAGCCAAAAGGTATTCAAAATAAATTTTGGATCACGAAACGATTTCAAAAAAGGGATAACTTGACTTATCATTACCATAACGGTGCAACCGGACCATACCGCGTCGCGTGTAGGGTCAACGAACAGAACATTTGATAACTAACTGTACCTTCGGCATAATTGTTCTGACCGACTAATTAAGAATGATAACACAATTGTAAAGTATCGTAAGACTTGTAACGAATTGATTTGTATAGGCAGTGGCGTAGCGTGCCTTGCCGTATAAAAATTTGTTTAGGGAACCCTTGAACGATAAACATTTCTCACAATAGATAGTTTTTTACATGAAATACTTATAATTTGTGTGAAAATCTAAAATTCAGGCAAATCCCTTTGCCCTAATTAGCGGACCTTATTAACTTTTATTCTTCTTAAGTTTCTGCCAACCTTTGAACGCTTGCTTTACGCGGGAAAAAGTGTTTATTTTGACTTTTGCGTTTACTGAAATAGAATAAAAATTGGGAAGTTTTTATTCATTTTTGCTTAGGCACGTTGGGGGCCCCTGTGGTCCGGGGGCCCCGTATAATTGATACGGCAGATACGGCGCTAGCTAGCTACGCCCCTGTGTATAGTCAAAGTCAAAGCCAAAGCATTTATTTCAATTAAACCATGGTTTGGTACTTTTGAAACGGCAACAAATACAAAATAAATAATAGTCTGTCAGTCAGCCCGTCAGTGAAACTAGGTGAAGCTAGGTGCTCATTCCAAAAAGTAGATTCGAATGGAGAAGAACGAGCAAGAAACTCCATTCGTTACTATTTAGGATAGGATAAGAAATAAGTAGGAAAGCGTTTCGTTTGTTTTTTTTCGCCCTGTTTTCTAACAAATAACAAATATTTCTACATTTGTTCGTGAAATACCCCAAAAAGCTAGTGGAATTCATCATCATCATCATCAACAGCCTATAAGTCGCCTGCTGTCTAAAAGCCTCTTCTCCCACGGAGAAGGTTTCAGTACACGCTTGTTAAACGTGGGTTGGCGATTTCAAACTTATAATTACAAATTATAAGCCCAGGTTTCCTCACGATGTTTTCTTTCACCGTTTGTCAGTGGTGTCTTAGAAAGCATATAACTCGGAAAAAGTCACATTGGTACTTGTCGTCTTAAACCTCCGGGTCACCACGGAGACTATAAAATTGTTTAGTACATAAGTGTTAAGTTGCCAATCACCACACCATAGTAGAACCAGTGAAAGTATTGACAGCAACCATCAATTTGACGGTTATTTCGTGGTTACCGGTTACCGGAGGTTGCGCAACCCTTTGTACATAGATGGCGCCTTTTATAGTGAACTATGATTTGATATCGGGCTGATTGGAAAGATTGTATGTTGCCATCCACGGAACACTTATTTGGCCACGCTTCGATGAAATTCTGTTGCATAATGTGGATGCTTTAACTAGTAAGTTTACTGATCGACAGATTACACCTTTTATATGGAGCTGATGTTAAAATTCTATCTTTAGTCAGTCAGCAAATCTACAGATACCCAGATATTTTTTAAATTGATTCTACACTTTAGACAGCATCGACATATAGTAAAGGAAAACACAAGGAAATCTGAACTTTCTCTGAAATTTCAACTTAAAGTTTGAAATCGCAAATTAAAATTAAGCATGGGTGATGAACTGATGATTAATGCTCATTCCGTCGTTTTGTAAGAGAAGACCTTTGACCAGGATTGGAATGTTTGCAGGCTGTTGACAGGATTCGTTCCATAATACTAATGAAAGACTTGAATAATCTCACTTAAAGATAATTCTATATCACATAAATATACATAATATAAGTGTGTATACATACATTATGTATGTTCATTCGTTTTCACTAATGCCCCTGAGGAGTTTCTCTAATTTATCATACAGTTATATTACGTACATGTTTCACTTTCATTGTCATTCATAGTAGAGATCTCGTATCAATGAACTGACGACATTGAGAAAATTCTAAACAAAAGAATACATAATTTAATTTATAATCTCTATGGTATTAACGTGAGCGCTTGAAATATAGAATAATAAAACGATTTAGCTTTTTAAAAACAATTCAAACATTCCTTTTATGTGTGGGAGAACCATGCTTCGGCACGAATGGGCCGGCTCGACCGGAGTGATACCACGGCCTCACAGAAAACCGACGTGAAGCAACGCTTGCGTTGTGTTTCGTCGTGTGAGTGAGGTTACCGGAGGTCCAATTACCCTCCCCTTCCCCAATCTCCCCAATTCCTGAATCCCCAACCGCCCTCAAATTCCTAATCCCCAAAAGGCCAGTAACGCACTTGTAACGCCTCTGGTGTTCCAGGTGTCCATGGGCGACGGTGATTGCTTACCATCAGGTGATCCGTCAGCTCATTTAGCGGATTATGTCATAAAAAACAATCCTGAAAATCTTTACTATAAAAGAAAGTCCCTCTGTATTTGTTCAGAATACACAAAATGTACTAAAAGGGTTTTCACCAGAGAGTAGAATAATTTTTGAGGAAAGTTTCAGATTTAACAACAAAACGATTGGCCAATCAGTTGCGTTACATGTCGAGCAAATAACTAAATAACCACCTTCTTGAGTATTGCATGCATTTTGGCGATAAATTATTTTCGTCGGTCGCTTTCTTCGTACGAAATAAATAATTGTATAATGTAACATGTTCGGATTTCATGGAACAGGACAGTGAGCACATTCATCACATTTTCAATAAGCGTTCAATATTTCATGCGAGATTCGCAGGACTGGAGTTATTGTGATGTGACTGCCTGAACGAATCGGTGCTCGTAAGTAATAAAACGTTCGAACACAATAGACATGGTCATACAATGTTAAGTAATAACATAACTTAGATATACTACAGGTAGATACGTAGATATGCATCCTACTTTAATATTATAAATGCGGAGTATGTTTCTTTGTTTATTACTCCTTCACCTCAAGACGGCTGAAGAGCTCGAGATGAAATTTGGAACAGGGATAGATTATGATTTGGAATAACGCATAATTAAGCTACTTATTTTCCAATGGGAACACGGGCGAAGCCGTTTGTAGAAGCGTTTTTTAACCGTTTGTAGAAAGAATTTTGTACGTATTTTTTAGTCCTACGATACAGATTGTCTTCTAAGTTCTTCGGAATAAAAGTCACCAAGTCAAAACGTTTCATTCGTCACCACAAAATAAAGCAGGTTATGTCATCTATCACCTGTTCTGTTGTATTCTTTCTTGCACATGTGCACATCCACACTATAACAATTTCTATGGAGAAACTGTGGGAATTATTGTACCTTGTCCTTGTCTATTGTCCATAGAAAAAAAATTGAATCCGGCGTAGGAGGTAGATTAATGCACGTGCTGGTTTTTTTTTCTTTTTTCGCATAATGCCACCTTTTTGTTAAATAAATATGGCGCTAGGCCAGGTGATGATGGTCGTGAGAATGCCGCCATCTTGTTTTGCGTTTAAAATTGGAAGTAGGTATGTTAAAAGTATGCAGTTTAGTTTCTATGTTAAAATTACTTAGTTTAGTAAAAGATTATAACTTTTACGTATATAAATAAGGCATGGCTCAGGTGCCTCAGGTACAAAGTATTAGATTTGCAAATCTTAACAATAAATTAGTTTTCACGTGATTGTGGTTGCTAATCGATAAACTAATGATAGTGTGTGATGTTACTGATAATTCGAAATTATGTCACGGCTGTCGTATGCGATAAATATACAGTGAACTTATGAAGAAACAAACAGACACGATTATATCTTTTATGGTAATAAAAAATATTTTAGCTAACTTATGAAAACCGAACGACCTGACAAACAACCATAGATGGTTCCCACGTAAACCATCGTAAGTAGAGCAGGCAGCAAGTCAACCTACTCCTTTCTGTCAAATATCTTTATTACATTTTCAACTCTATCGTTTAAACATAAAGTCGAATAACCAATAACAATAACTGGTACACTGGAGTAGGTTTATGAGCTCGCCATTGTACAAAACTGTACCTTCTTGACAGGAGAGCTATTTAACGGCTTTACACCAATAACGTTCGATTACACAGAAATTGGCGCAAAAACATACTTTTAAATGACTCGCCTTTAAAGTAACTCTTATGGACACACGTACCTACTAACTTTATGTAAAGGCCATTAATATTAAGTTTAAAAAAAATAAGGAGTTGTGAGCGCCTAATTTAAATTTCGAATTTAGAAACAGTAAAGAAGAAATAGCTCACCTGTCCAGCAGTATCACAGATTTCTACGCAAAGCGGTCGGTCGTCCACGTCAACCACAACTGTAACAAAATAAAAACATTGATTAGATCACTGGAACTTCACAGACTTGTAACAAACTTTATTGTTTAATGGAAAAAACTGCATAAGACACAGGTATGAATACCGTGCGATTGAAAACAAATTAGTTTTCAGTGGACTCATAGGTACTCGAATACATTTATAGAAAAAAAAATTAATAGGTATTATTATTTAACACTAGTAAAAGTAAATTTGTTCTAAAAACTTTCAAAAAACGTTCTATTTTATTATTACTGGCCGGCAATAAAACTGTTATTGTTTAGTTTGCGCAACATTTTCGTACCTGGCAACATAATTCAATGAACTACGTTTACGCTGTAGGTCGTTATACAGCATTGTGAAACTTAAAAGTAATATTTTAAATGTCAATGCGAAACGGCGAACATGGTTTACAAGCTGCAAGCATGGCTAAGTTAGGTAACCAACTTCATTCTTGTATTTTAATCTAACAATAGAATTCTCTAAGCTTTGCTAAGTACGGTGCTAGTTTATACTTAAACACCTGACGACTTAACACATCGATTTAAAATTATATGGTTTGAAATGTCAAGAAGAAATGAATTTATTTTGTCACGTTCCGAGTGTATTATGAAATTGTTACTAAGACTGTACATTGTATTATATTATTATGTATTATATCACATTCACAAAAGACAAACCGGAATAACTAACTCGTTTATTACTGTAATTAGACAATTATTATCAAACGAGTGCCTGACAACAGACGACAACACAAAACAGTAACAAAAGTACAAAGCAGAAAAAGAACAATTAAAATAAAATACAATAATGTCAAACGGTGTATGATTTCTTTTTTTACAATGGCAACAGTGTCGCGACACCCGATACGTCACATCACCCTCGTGCCGGATACGCGCGGTAAACAGCGAATGTCCGAACATCCTGGCTTTTGTTCACAAACCTGTATTACCGCATTTACCGCCATTCGCAATTACTGAGATTACTGGCCACTCACGCCGCCATGTTTTTGTTTTGTAAAGTAGAACCTAATATTTTGTTTTTGCGCGAATTTTTGATAGCCTATGTTTTATGAACAATACCAATCTAAGCAAAAGTACTTTAGTAACTTTAAGTAAGGTTTTCAGGCTTCGACAGTTGGTGTTAGTTGGTATAATTGCCGCTATCCAACCAATGTCATTTTTATCAATTATTATTTATCGTTCTTTAGTTTCTAATTACAAATTAAGCTACCATATTTCAAACAAAAAATTATCTGTGACAAGTACAACATAACCGTTTACTCATTGATTAACATTACCTACCGTTAGTTAACACAGGATTAAGTCAACCGCAACAAAATGAAGAATATTGTACAACATACAACTACAAGTAACTGGACGTAACATTAAAAAAGTCTATTAATTACATACACTCGAAAAACATTACCCTCCTTCTTTGGCAGTCGGGTAAAAAGGAGGTCACGAGACGTTCATAAAAAAAGGAAAAAAGTTTGAAATCGAGAGCGAATCAGCCAGTGAGTCCAAAGTCCAGAGATGGAATGAGTCACCAACACCGCAGTGGCAACAACCGTGACCGTACCTCACGAAGTCACGATCCTTGTGTATCAGTTATGTCACTATTCTACTACTTTTATTGTCTTGTTCAAATAAATAAATACACAACATTGAATACAGAATGTCTATTTCTGGAATCCTTTTGTAGTAGAAAATACTACAGATTGAAAATCTATCCCTACATAATAATATCTACATTTATAAACAAAACCTCTCACCGCATAATTATGTATGTTCGCGATTTACTCAAAAACTAGAGCACCAATTTTTATGCGGCTTTCAGTAGTGGATAGCGCAATATTTTGACGAAGGTTTAATCGCAAACCGTTTATGTTCACTGTAGGCTTAACCTCAGCAGCAAACAGGTAGATCTTATAAAATGTTGGCTCAACAATACAATTATCGAAATATTCCATTATAAAGTTCTTATAAACTGAAACTGTAGCTACAGATACGAAGAAAAATCTAAACATGGACAGTACATTTAACTCTAGAGAATAAGTAAATGTGGCAGTCTGTAGACTAAGCCATTTGAAGATGCGGGACGCGAACCAACGACCTCGTGTCACAGAGAACAAAATAAACTAGTCTAGACAAACAAAACATTGCCTGGAGTTTACATAAACACAAGCATACTAAGTGCCTGGCACTAGAATTTCTTTAAACATTGAAATCTAGACCGTATATTAAGTTACTTTAGAATTGAAACTTGAAAGTAGATCTCTTCCATTATAAAAGATCTAGGTTTTATGCTGAGCTGGGGTTTACGATAGGATGATTCCCCATTATTACGAAACCTTGTTTAAGTTGTAGACAAATAAAAGATTATTTGCCTGGTGCCTCCGTTTGATGAAAATTCTTGAATATTCGGTTTATTTATTAACTTTTTAGGTCTATTACGCAAAACTCTGGTAAGTGCATAAATATTTAAGTTAGTCTTGGCTTACTTAGCACTCCCAATTCCCTACTCCCAAATTCTCAACTTGTTAGCCGTTTAATAACATAAACAAACCCACAATCTGATTACAAACAAGTTTGAAACTTTGTAAAAACTATTAAGTATCTCTTAATATCACCATTTACACAAGATCTATGACTAAAAGATGCGATTCGATTGGCATAAACATGTCTTTTTATACAGAAATGTCATTCATACATTTACGGTCTTCGTACACCGCTCACATAGATAAAGAGATAATCTAATTTCCAACCTTTACTTGCCATTTGACACGGTTCGACGACCCCAGCGACCCCGTTTAGATGGCGCCACTGTGACCTTCCCGAAGTCCTATATCAACTTGACCTATAATCGAATAAAGATGTATCTACTTAACTAGTACGTGTAGGCGATGGCATGAGTCAATGTTGCCATTTATAAAAACTATGGCAATCCTGACCTTGGATTTTTTCTTGCAATGACAGATGAATCATAATGAAAAGGTTGTGCATTGTAGATTTAATACATGTAGGCGATTATTACCTAGTTTAGTTGCAAACAAAATAGTAGAATAAATCAACTACTTATTGATGTCATGTCAGTCATGAAGAAAAGCACACGTCTTCTTTTCGCGATCCACTTGAGATGCAATAAATTCAAATTGCATCTCCCTTATTAGGTAGGTACCTCTGTCGGTAACCGCAACACATCCACATATATGGCTATGCATTAAAATAATGATTGCTATATTTAAGATCAAAAAGCATTGGTTGTCTCGTAGATAGATGTAGACCGATCATTGTGGTTATCATAAAAGATAAAATTCCAACAAAAGATCAGCCATTTTACAAGTACAATAACTATACAAAATTGTGCGGTTTTCCTAAAAGATGATACTACAAAACTTGTTTTAAATGAATCATTGAAGAAACTTCGGTAAATAAATAAAAAAGTGTGTTATAAAATAATAAGAGTATTATTTCGAAGACTTGACCTTACTTATACTATTCTACTTAGTTTGTACTCGAAGGTAGTCTATCAAGAATACAGTTTAAAATCGATCGCAATTAGCGATAAGGCCATCAATTGCATGTTTATAACTTTATTTACATGAAATATGGAGTACAATAAATAACATAACATAACATCACGCCTTTTATCCTCGAAGGGGTAGGCAGAGGTGCACATTATACCACTGTACAATGTAACACCCATTTTTCACTATTTATGTTATGAGTCCCATGTAATAGGGGTGAGCCTATTGCCATATACCGGGCACAATTCCAGACTCCGTGCTACTACTCGGATTTAATAAAAAACCCAGTAGTACTTTGCCCGATCCGGGAATCGAACCCGAGACCCCTTGCCCAGCAATAAATATAAAACAATAAATATTATTTGTATTTATCCCCAGTCCTTAAGAAATTGAGAGAAATTGTTACTGCTATTGGCTACATATCTTTATCGGACACATACCCAGACGCTCATATCTACATATTGAACTTAATCAGCAGCTCCTACACTGTAATAACCCAATAAACCCCACTTAAATTTAACATTATGCCTGGGATTTTGACTATCTAAGCGAACCGTAGTCCCTGAACAAACGAAGGGACGGACGGGACACCAAATTACGCTCAGATTTACGACGTTTCATGCTTTTTATTGTCGCACAGATTTTACGAGCGTACAGCCAATAATGGCGCGAAAATTTTTGAACGACATTGCCATTGTAAAAAAATACATTAAGAAAAATGTATGTTCAACTGGAAAAGGTTAGTTATTCAAATTAACAGTTAGTATTAACATAATATCTAAGTATAACATAATTTACCAGTTCTCTCATCGTTGTCTAAACAATATTCACAGAAGACGATCACGTTTGTTATTACTGAATTTATATTGTTGTTACGATTCATCATTATACAACTACTGTTCTCCGTCTTTAAAGTATAAACACGAGGATGACTATTATAAACGCGCAATTATATTAGAGATAGGTACGTACTTACATTTCTAGTCAAAGTAAAGTCTATCTTAAGGCAGTCTTGTTATTTTATTTTAAAATACTATTTAATGGCTATTTTTGGCAGATTATACAAACGGCAGCAGTTTATTTTTTTATTGACTAAACGGTATTGGCACCAACATACTGTCTGAATCCTTTCAAATATATTATTTACTAAGGTCATCCTGTAGTCTTTATTGTGTTACTAATGAAGACTCGCTCGAGAAAAACTATTTTCTTAAGTGCAAAAATAACAACCAAGAGAGAAAGTGTTTACAAAGTCGTTATCATAACTCGCTACATATTCATTCTTGATACATTTATTATGCAATTTACGGAAATTCCATTCATTATCATTATGCAATATCATAAATGTCACCAGTAAAGTGCAGTAGACCTAGCGTCAGCCTTGATAAAAAATGCAACAGATTATCTAGGCCACTGGGCCACTCGCGGTATACCGTGGCCCATTTCACTTCATTAAAAAAACATTGACTTTTTTTCAATATGTCTTGACATGATTGAAAGGTTGGGTGATTGATACTGTCATTACTAGGCAGGTTGACTTTTAATTCGCATTTTTTTTTTTGCTTTTTGTATGAAAGCAAATAAAGTAAGTACTACTGTGGGTGTAGATAAATAACTATTTATGAAAGCGTGAAATATCGATTTCAAAGAGGCATTTGTAATTTAGTAAAAGTAGAACACCTGCATAAATATATTTTATTTGATAGAATTAAATATACGAGGTTAATGTTACCGGCAATTAAAAAACATTTATTGAAACTTCCCCTTTTCAAATAAGATATTTTGTGTAGGTACCGTACCGCAGTAGTTTCGGAAAGGAAAAACAAATGATGTTATATTTTATTACTTAACAGCATAACATAATTATAGCTCAGCTCGTCTTTGTGTTCAAGAGCTTGTTATTATTCCTGCTACAATAATTTATATGAATCATATAATAAGAGGCGATCCACTGACCTCAATAGTGGAATGGTTGCACTGATATCGATCGCCACGGAGAATTATTGCCTTATTCTAGCACATTCATCAATATTGCATGCGGTAGCGACTAGCGAGGCTGGCAACACTATTATTTTTTCACAACGCACCGTGGCACCGTCCATACCATTTGTGACATTTGTACCACAGTGTTGCCGATGGGAAATAAACAGCTGTCAAAATTTTAAATTAAATAGAGCGCTTGATGATTTATTTGCTCCTTTATTTTGTCATAATGCTTGCATTGATTTGTAATCCGGTTAAGTAATGACACATATAGTTTTATCTATCCAAGACGATAAAAGATATTGTTTTTATTACGGATGACTAGTCTTTCATTTTCATACGTAAATACTTACCTAACACAATTGAATTCCTCAAGAGATTAGTCAGAGGCGTTTAGCTTTTGGGCTACCC